CCCCCCCCCCCCACCCCCCCCGCAATCACAAAGTCCTGAGGACTCTTTAGACAGAGCCCTTACCCCAGGAAATCAGCCCGAAGTCAGCTCTTTACATGTTTGTTCTGCACTATAGCATATACTCTTCAAGGACATCCGTCCACCCCCCTCCACCTGTCCATCCATTGATCCAGCGTCCACCTGTCAGTCCATTGATCCAGTGTCCATCTGTCCATCCGTCCACCCATCAACCTGTCCGTCAATCCATCCATCCATCCATCCATCTATTCACCAAATATTTACTGAGTGTCTACTATGTTCTGGGCACTCAAAATAGTGAACCCAATTTTCTATTCTCGGAGAGCTTATTCATCTATGTATCCCCAGGACCTGGCAGAACAATAAAAAATAATAGCCACCATTTAAAAAACTACAGGGAGTCTCCGAGAGGTTATGAAACATGCCTGAGATCACACAGTAAGTGGCAGAGCTAGGATTTAAACCGAGGTCTGTCTGATGCTAAAGCTCCTCTGCCATCTTCCTTTGCATCAGTAAACATGTTCTGTGCCACCTGGATCCCCCGGAACCTGACTTTGCCATTTCTGAAGGGAGCCGAGGGGCAGCCTCAGAGCTGCTGCTCCGAGCCGGGACCTCTCACCTTCTGCTGCCTGATGGCCTTGTTGAGCCTCTTCTCCTCGTGCAGCTGGTGCTCCATGCGCTCCAGGGCCTCCTTCAGCAGCGCCTTTTCCTCCACTTCTTTGTGGATGTTGTCCTCCAGCTTTGCCACCTGTGACTGGTACATCTGAACGGACACTTTGCTCTGCCTGAGCGTGCGGGAGAGACAAAGTCTCTTTCCCCCTCATCTTTCTCACGCACCAGCAATGTCTCGACCTGGGAGGGTCTCAAAATACTTCCACATACGGCTAACTCAGTGGTTTCATTATAAGCGGGAGAGAATGACAAAGATCTGGGGAGTCCGGGGCAGAATAAATAGTGAATCAGCTGAGTAAGTGGAGCAGGAGGTTGGCAAAGGACATGCTACCAGCCCCCCATTTCCCAGAGAGGGCAGGGGGAACTGCGACCACTGAAAAGATGATGGAACTGTCCACAGTACACAAATGGTGACACAACGTCAAAATTCCTAACGGTGCAGCTTATTCATGAAGAGGGTGGAGAATGGAGAAAGCTGACCCCTTCAGAGGCTGCTTTCCCACGAGAGACGTGTCTTTATCAGGCCCTAGTCACCGTCCGGCCCCCCCGCCCCAATATTTTAGTTATTCCACACCGGGGCCTTCCGTCCTCCTGTCCTGGACCTTGGGGTCTGCTGCTGCCCTGAGGTGCAGCTGGGAGAATGGAGACCTGGGCCTTTCCGCGGGGACATGGGCGGTACCTGAGCTGTTCGATGTCTTTTTCGTATCCTCGCAGAAGCTCCTCTTTTCTCTCCAGCCGGTTCTTGAGTTGCGTGATCTTATCAAACACGAGATCGAGGTCCCTTTGTCGAAGCTGGTTGACTTTCTCCCTCTCTTTTGGGGAGAGGTGCTTCATGGACACGTGACCTGACATATCTTTGATGTTCATCAGACTCCCGAGCGTCTTGCTCATATCCATGTACTGCAAGGAAAGCGTTTGCAGATAAGAGGCAAGGCCGAGACCACTGGTGACTGCTTTAAGGAGGAAACGTCTAATTCTGTTCGTTCATTCTCTGCCGTTGCAGAGAACACACACACGCCTTGGCAATGAGTGCAGCTGGGGCTCTTTGTACGACTTTCAATTTCCCTGCATCCATTTGCCCTATGCCTCTTTGAGAAGCAGGGGAAAAAATAACAACAGATATAAACATTCGTTCTAACTACCTGGTTTCTCAAGGAATTCAGCTAGGCAATTCCCGACCCACGCTGGGATAGTAGAGGGGTCTTGCAGAGATGTTATAACAACTGTGTGTGGAAGGCTGATGTTTAAACTACCCGGGGTTAACACTGACTGCGGGGCCAGGCTCGGACGGAAGGGGATGGATGCTGTAGGCACATACCAGCTTTTCACTGAGATCTAAAGCCTCAGCCACCTCCATTTTCTCTGCCTTCTCGGTGGTCAGGATGGACCCTGAGTTGGAAGGGCCATTTTGAGGCTGAAATAGAAGAGAAACAAAAAGTCGGCGTTCCATTATGAATTTTGACATCCAGAAGTTAAAACGCTGTGTGGTTACCAACGGGTGACTTGAGACGGTTGACTTTCATCTCAGTTCCTGACCCTCCAGTCTGATTCCTTTGTCAGCTGCTTTCTTATATCTGTGTTCCTATCATTCAGAGCACGACTCTCTTTGAAATGACACATTGCTTGTCCCATTCTTTGGTCACTGTCTGTCTTCCCTGTCGACCAGCGGTTCTCAACCGGGGGTGACTTTTGTCTCCCCTCCCACCCCAGACATTTGGCGATGCCTGGACACATTTTTGGTTGTTACAAACGGGGCCGAGGAGTGCTACCGGCACTAGCGGTAGAGGGCGAGGGTGCTGCTAACCATCCCACAGCACACAGGACAGTCCCCCAAACAAAGAGTCACCTGGCCCCAAATATCTGTAGCACTGAGGTCGAGAAACCCTGGTCTATATGACAAACTTCAAAAAAACAGGACTGTGCTGCTTTTGCTCATTATCCCATTTCTTGTGCCCAGCATGGCACCTGGCACAGAGTGGCACATAGTGGGCATGTTTGTTGAATGAATGAATGAAGGTTAATAGCAAATAGCCCCCCCCCCTTTTATTAAAGGAATCTCACTTTTATGCAGTGGAAGCTATACCCTCACAAAATTGGGCCAAACCTTCTCCTAGTGCTGGAAGCTGGGGAGTGGGCTGGGGACTTCAGACCCATCTCAGAGACAATGCAGGCTGATATTTACAGCTGTGCATTCACAAAGACCCTAATCAGCCAGCTGGATGCTGGGAGTCCCAATTGACTGTGTGGAAAAGCCACCAGAATGATCAGGGAGTGTGAAGGAGCACAAATAACCGTAATAAATCTCCTTAGAAAACGAAATTGGGTTTTAAGTGCTTGCTATGAGCACCCCATAGCATTTGCTGGCACCACGCTACGAATCTCTGAGATTGAAGAAGCCCCAACTCTAAAAACACAAAGGCCCCAAAAGTAGCTGTGATAGATAAAGGTGGACATATTTATTTATAACGATAGAGATGACGATAAAGAGGGTATTTGAAGGCGACAATATGCTGGGTGGATCTGTTGCAAAAAGAACCTGAAATGCTGCTCTGTATCTCTGCACCCTTCTCCAGAGGCCCCCTCTTTTCCTGAAGGAGGGTCACCTAAAGAAGAGTCTGGGCCACAGGGGTCAACCACACAGTCCCACCCCCTCCTCTGCAGACCAGCAGGATGCTAGAGACAGACAGGCAGGGACACGGTCCTGGCTCCGTCGTTCATGGTTCTGTGACCTTGAATGAGGCACTTGCCCTCCTGAAGCCTTAAGTTTCCTCATCTGTAAAATGGGGATAACAGTGACTATGGCACAAGGCTGCTGCGAGGATGGAACGAGAGGATGCGTGCAGAGGCTTAGCTCCACGCCTGGCGCACAGCGCGCACTTCACAGCTGTCACCTAGCCTTCCTCCTGCTCCTTCTCCTCTTTAGTTTTAGTGACTGCCAACCTTGGAGGATGGAGATCTTCTGAGAGAGGTGGGAGGTTTCCTGCTCTTTGCTGTGGGTGGTGGGATCAGGGGTCGTGGCTAAGGAGAAGGCAAACCCTGGAAGCAGGGTCAGGGTTTGGGAGCCAGCCGAGCTCCCCACCTGGAGATTGTCCTTCCTCCCTGAAGCTTGGAGAACGAGGGTTTGATTTTATCAAGGAACCAACACATTTCTGAAGATGCATATCTCTGGCAAATGTCTAGAGAAATTCTTGGAGAGAATGTTGGTACAGATAGGAGGACTTTGCTATTTCTTCTAAAAGCCTGTGTATGGTTTAGATCCAGCTGCGGCAGCAAGCCCTGCCCAGGGGATCCTGTGACTGACGCTGACCTGAGCTGTCCATTGTCCTGTGGACAATCAATCAGCACCCAATCAAACATCCATATGGGGTACAGGGCACCTTCAACTTAACAGGCAATCAACTTACTTCGGAAAGTTCTGGCAAATAAAACTATGCTCCTTAAAAAAGGAAGATTTTCTTGAATAATACTATTTAAGAATACTTAATAAAAATGACAGCTATTATTTAAGGGTTCACTGGGAGCTAGGCACTGGGACAAGCGCTTTACATAATTATCTTCTTTCATATTTTCATCATCATTTTATAGCTAGGAAACGAAGCTGCAGAAAGGTTCACGGCCTTGCCCAAGGTCACGCAGCTCACAGAGCAAGGATTCCGACACAGGTCCCTCTGACTCTAGAAGTTGTGTCCTCTGACTAATGGCTCCCTTCTGCGACCCTTATGTGTTCATGTTTTTCAGTTTACAGCAAAATGCAAATATTAGGCAAACTCATGGCATAATGTTATAAATCAGCCTGCTGAATATTTTCTGCAGAACACAACACGTGGTGTGAGAAGGAGGGCCCACCAGAGACTGACCCGGCCCAATGTCAATGCAATGACATGTCGTGCTGTGCGGAAATGGAAGGCTTTCTCTTCAAACATGGGACCACTGGTACACAAGGCACTGATCAGTTGGTACAGATGTTAGCCCATCACGGGGACCTGGCCCCGAACCACTGATATGCACGGCCGTGCCAGGGCACACGGCTAGCGTCTTCCCTCATGCCCACCCTCTCCCCACACATCAGTCACTGCAGAGACAAACTGTCTTTGGTTACCGCTCGGATCTCTATTTTTGAGAGAGTTGGCAAATCAGATTTTGCATCCAATATTTTCTGGACATTTTTTTCCATCCTGAGAGCCTGTAAGTCTAGAAATGGTTCATTCAGGTGGTCTTTACGATCTACAAAAGAAATAATTGACGCTCAAAAGAAAGGCTCAGGAAGAAGTTATTGCACATAATAATCACAGCTGCTATTTACTGGACACTTACCGGGCCAGTACTAACCATCACCACCCTCCCTTGGCAGGTGAGGAATCTGAGGCCCAGAGAGGTTAAACGACTTGCCCAAGGTCACACAGCTAATATGAGGCTGCAGCCTCACAGGAACGGATGGAAGGAGGGGGGAACTTGAACCCAAGAGGATGGAACTTGAACCCTGGCTTCTGGGTCCTAGGCCAGTGCTCCACCCAGCAGTAAGCTCGGTATCTTAAGAGCCCTATCCCCTCTAAACAGGGTATTCTAGAAGGTTCCCCAGTGTTGATCCTTGCACAGTGTTAGTCCATGACAAAGTTTCCACTGGGCCACAGTGAAATAAGAAAAAGGACAGGGGGCTGGCCCCATGGCGGGTGGTTAAGTTCGAGAGCTTCGCTTCAGCGGCCCAGGGTTTCCCCAGTTCGAATCCTGGGCATGGACACGGCACCGCTCATTAAGCCATGCTGAGGCGGCATCCCACATGACACAACTAGAAGGACCCACAACTATAATATACAACTATGTACTGGGGGTATTTGGGGAGGAAAAAAAAGATTGGCAACAGATGTTAGCTCAGGGCCAGTCTTAAAAAAAAGAAAAAAGGACAATGTAGTGAGTTTTTCAGGAAGTCCTATTTATTTAATAACAAGGCCTCCCCTTGACTCTGAGATCATGTCAGTCCATCTTTTTTCTATTACAATGTCCTCTTGGTTATGAAATGATGGGGCTAGAAGATAGTGGTCCTGGCAAATTGGTCAGTCCCTAAGTGAACGCTAGGGTCTGGGGCCCACGGCTCTGAGCACGGAGAGCGAGACTGGAAAGGAGGGCACTTACTGGATGAGCAGGCCTTCTCGAGTTCTTTAATTCGAGCACGGAGTTCAGATAAGGCCTTTTTCTGACGCTGAATGACTTCCTCGTGTCGGGACCCCTTGCACTTGGCCCCCAGGTCACTGAAGGACAGCTCCTGTGGCCAGAATGGTGCAAACAGCAGCTTTGTTAGAGAATATCTCTCTCATATCCCAAGACATGTGAACAATTCATGGATAGCAGAAACCCTGTCACTTAGTACCTTGGAAAATGTCATTAAGAGGCTTCAGCAGAGAAAGAAGTAAAATTTTTCATTTTAGATAGAAAGTCACATCTAGGGAGATTTCCAACTTTCCTACTACTTAGCATCACTATAAATAAAACATCCACTCTATGTTCCCTCCTCATGTTTTATTTATTTTTTCTTCTAAGCTTGGGTTTCCGTTTGTTGTCATTTGGTCTCATTTCTGAACAACACATCAAATTCTGCTCCAGAAGGAGCATTTTTAGAGAACACATGATACTTTCTTCTCAACTGGTAATAAGGATGGTTGTCTAATATTTGCTAGCAGGAATTTGATAGACTGACTTTTGGCTGGTCTAGAGAAGGGAAAACCTTCTTCTGCAACTTCCAGAGCCTCTAGAACAGCTCTGTCCAACAGAACTTTCTGCGATGATGGACAGCTTCCACATCTGCACCATCCAATATGGTAGCCACCAGCTACATAGCCAGAGCTGGGTTTACAAAGGGCACAGACAAGGAAAGGTCCTGTTCATCTCTTAAGGGTCATGCCCCGCTTTGAGATTCAGAGGAGCGCAGGGTTATTTTCTCCAGAAAAATTCACATACATGCTATAATTTGCATATAACTTCTGGGGGTTCAGGGACCCCCGGAAGCCCAGTCGTGGACTCCAAATTAAACAATGCTTCTCTAGGGTAAGGGATCCATTCATTCACTCATTCATTCATTTCACAAAGATTTATCGAGCACCTCTGTGTGCCGAGCCTTATTCTAGGCTCTGGAGACTCAGCAGCGAATAAAATGGGCAAAATCCCTGCTCTCGTGGATTCTGCTTCCTAGTGCGGGGAGACAGCAATAAGCAAGGAAAGCACAGGAAATACATGGTGGACAGTGTCTGTGTTAGAAGCTGGCGATGGGGTGATGGGGTGCTGGGAATGGTTTTCAGTTGTAGACAGTTGCAGGGAAGGCCCCAGTCAAAATGGCAAGAAAGGGAAGAGATGGACAAATTGACCCTTTTATAATAATTTGAAAGATAACAATTTTGGCTTACTTCATATGTTCAAAAAAAATTGTACAGCTATGGAGCCAGACACTGTTTCGGGCAGTGGGGAGCGGTGGGGGAACCAGGTAGACAGGCCCTCCTGCTGTGGGGCTCATTTCTGGGGGCAGACTCAACAGATAAGCAGACAGGCACGTAAATAGCTCCAGAAAGTGATAAATGCCACCAGGAGGACAAAGCAGAGAGAGGGAAAGGGACATTCACTCGTTCTTCTTTCTTTGACTCATCAAGTGCCTGTGAGAGGCCCCTGTGACACGTCCCGGGTCCTGCTGCAGCCATGCTCTCCTCCTTCAGGAGGAGCCCGGGGTGCCATCCGAGGTGCTCCTGGGGCTGCTCCCTGCCCCGTCAAGGCCCTGCCCCTCGTTCCTTCACTTCCCGCAGGCTCTGGTCTCCTCCTGGAGGGGGCTCCCTGACCAGCCACCCCTACCCTAGAATGTCACTTTCTGCCCTGAGTCCGGCTGTGGATGTCCTCAGAGCGCTCGTCCCCACCGGACGTTTGTTCAACGTTGACTTGTTTCTTGCCTGTCCCTCCCTTTCCAGGACGTGGGCTCTGTGAGAGCAAAGTCTTTGTCTCCACAGCAGACTGCGGTTTTCCCAGAGCCAGCACTGCGCCCAAGCACAGGAGATGCTCGATAAATATGGAGCCCGAATGAACTGAGGTCAGAAATAGGAGTTTGCCCCTGCCTTCTGCCTGGGACCAGGGGTCAGCAGCCGCGAGAAGGGGGCGCTCCACCCCGGCTGCACGTAGTAGGACCTCGCTTGACCCCATCCCTGGCTCCAGCCCACTTAGAGGCTACACTGCCGGTCCAGTGCGGGGTCGTTTCTACATTGGCCTTGCCCTCTTTGAGGGTGTATGTTTGCCCTGGGAGTAAACGCCTGAAGTGTCCTGTGTGTGTGAGTGAGTGTGTGTGTGTGCACGTGCAGGAGTGTGGAGGAGGGCCAGAGCTGCTGGCCTTGGGGGTGGGGCAGCCGCAGCCGCGAGGCTCAGAGACAGCTTTTACTCTGCAGGAAGAGCACGCCTGAGCCCAACGTGACCATTCCTCCCGGCTCTTCTGGGAATTTGTTTATTTACAGAAGACGGAGATTCTTTCTCATACAACTCTTAGGCCCTCTGACCCATTCTGGCTTGGAAAGCAGGAAGCAGCCTGAGAGTGGAAACCACTCTGAGGAGCAGCAAATACTTTCTTCCTTTCATCTTGCAGCCTCCCTGCCCGCTCAAGTAATCCCACCTCATGACAGAAACTAAAAACCACGCGCATCCTGTCAACAATCCATTCCAGCAAACAATGCAGAGTCGGAGGGGGTCTGGGGTGGGCAGGGACCCTGCACATCCTCCCGTGTGCCCAGCACAGGGCTGGCATACAGCAGGTGCTCAACAGTTGTTGAAGGAGTGACCGAATGTGGGCCAGGTCCTGCGCTAAGACCCTGGGATCCTGACAGGAATGAGACCCGCTCCCTGCCCCACAGAGCTTATGGCTGCGCCGACCTGCTGCGGCCCCGCTCGCGGCCGCCCTGACCAACGAGGAGCCACTTCTGTTCAAGTGCTCTGGACGGAGATTGATGGGAGCCAAGGACAGCTGGCCGGGCCGCCGGGCCCTTTCGTTCAAGCTGCGTGCGGCCCTGGCTCACTGCTCTTTGGCAGAGGAAAGGCATCTTTGAGAAAGCAGGAAAGCAAGCTGACACATTTGGCCCCGTTTCCAAGTGAAAGCTCAAAGCCCATTACCGAAACGCCCCGCTCTCCGGTTTCATAAAGCCAGGGGAGAAAGGCCATCCCCGGACTCCAGGAAACCGAGGCCTCGAAGAACCCCTGCACCCCACGGTCAGCCTACGCGGACGACAGCGAACATCAGCCCCAACCGTGGGGACAGGGTGTGGGTGCCGCCTTCGAGGACGGCGTGGTGAAGGCTGTTCTTGCTCTCACTCCCATGTGCTACGCAGCTGGGACTTCCAGGCGCGTGAGGCTCCTGGGCAGACACCCAGAGAGAAGTCGCCAGGAGGCTGCCCCGGGGCACACAGGGGACGGCTCTTTGGGAAGGCGGCTTGGCCCTGTCAAGCACAGCTGCGAGTGTCATCTGGACCCAGCAATTTCACATCTAGGAATTTGTTCTGCATACGCACAAGGATATGAATGCAGCATCGTGCAACAGTAAAAATAACTTGAACGTCCATCCACAGGGGACTGGTTGGACCAAAGGGACACAACAGAATTCTATGCAGCCATTTAAAAGAATAAAGCAGATCTTTATAGACTTACTTGCAAAGACGCCCATTAAACAGTGCTAGGTGCAAAAAAAAAAAAAAGTTGCAGAATACATATGGCTTGATATCATTATTTTGCAAAAAAAATCTATTAAATAAATATATATATATATATATATAGGTTTGTGTGTATAAATAAAATTTATTTCTCAACAACCCCAAGAGGTGGTGACTGTCATTACTCTCACTTCCCAGACGAGGGAACTGGCAGACAGGAGGCTCCCCGAGGTGGCAGAGTTTCCGAGAGGAGGGGTCAGGACTGGAACCCAGGCAGACGGACCAAGCCTGGTTTTCAACCATCGCACAGTCACGACTGTATGAGAGCACGGTGGTCTCCGTGAGGAAAAGGTCTGACGGCACTCATGCCAGACGGTTGACAGACGTAACCTCTGGTGACTGCAAAGCGCAGGGGCAGGACTGCTAGTTTCCACTTTACACACTTCACACAAGCAAGTAGTATTTTTGGAACTTACAACGAAACTATTTTCAAAAGCCCCCACTGAGCTCTTTCTTAGCACGTCCTTCCGGGCACCCAGGACCGGGCGGGCACTCACCTCTTGGCTGCTCAAGAGAATGTCAGTGTGGATTGGTTCTATCTGCACCGAGATGTCACACGTCTGGTTCACATTCCTGGGCTTCTGTTCCTTCTCCCTGTGCTGCTGGAGTTTGTGTTTCTCTTGGGAGACCCTGGGGCAGAGAGGATGTCACTGGGCAGCCGGCTGGCCGGCAGCACGAGGTCCGGGACCCGTGAGCTACCTTTGCAACCACTGGCAGAATGGGAAAGGGAGCTCCACTGTCACAGGCAACCAAAGCCTTCGAGCCTGCAAGCGTCCTGCCCGCAGACTGCTAGAGAATTTGGTTTCAGGGGACCTCAAGGAGAGTGGCCACAGCGGTAGGCACCTACCCTCCTGGCTTCCTACACGGGCTCGGTGGGACCCCTGCTGTGTCACCTATAGGGGCATTTACTGCGCGTCCACCATTTCAAACACTTTGTATGTGTTAACGCTTCTATTTCTCATAACAACCCCGTGAGTTGGGGATCCTCCTCACCCCATTCTACAGACAAGGAGAGAGACACACAGCCATTTGCCCACGGTCATGGATCTCGTAAGTGGAGGCTCCTGGTTTTGCACTCAGGCAGCCTGAGTCTGGAGCCTGCTCTTGTAACCACTATGTGAACCTGCCTTGCCCATGAGCCATGAGGCACACGCAGGTACAGGGTATACACGAGACGTCCATGATACTCACACTTTCTTGGGGAAGACATTACTCTTATGTCAAAATATGGATAAGCTACGGACGAAGATGCAAACTCACATGTATTTCTTTAGACTAATCTATGGGATAATGGTATTTTATATTTATTTTAAGCTGACCTCTGACCTCCAGTTTATACATCTGTTCAATAAATACTTAGTGAGTTCCCTATGTGCCAGGCACTATGTGAATGCTGGGAGTCAATACCGGGCAAGGTTACACAGACCCTGTCCTCATGGGGAAGGCAGACAGCAGAAAAGACAGCTGCAGCCTGGAGGTGTAAGAAGCGTTAGGTTAGGTGGAGCAGGGGCGGAGGGACCTCAGGCAGAGCAGGAGCCCTTGGCTACGTTTGGTGAGGGCGAGTGATGGAAAGCTTCCTGGAAGAAGTGGCATTTAAGACCTGAGACTTGTCATCTGGAATATTGGACAGGAATGTCTGAGAAGCACAGAACTAAGCAAAGCTCTCTTTTAACTGATGAGGCTGTGAAGTAATGAAGCACATGTCATTCATTCATTCATTCATTCATCCATTCAAATCTTCAACCCGCATTTACTGAGCCCCCTCTCTCTGTGCAAGGCTCCTCAGGCACTTGGGTGTGCCTGGGATCCCCACTCCATGTGGGCCTTCCCACACACCTGAGCGCCTCCTTGAGGACTTCCAGCTCCCTGTCCTTCTTTTCCACCAGGCTGGTCATCTGCGCCATCTTTTCCTTGAGCACACTCAGCTCTCTGCTTTGTCGCTGGACCAGCGCCACGTTCCGCTCCAGCTCCATCTTCTGCTTCTCATTAAGCTCCCCTGGGAATGACATGAATGCTGGCCAGGGGGGCTCCCACCTGGGTCTCCGCTAGGGCCACAGCAGACCTGCCAGGCCCACAAGAACCACGAGGCGGGTCCGCCCTCCAGGAGTTCTCAGGGGGTTCAGTAATGGTCACGATGTTGGCATCTTCACAAACAACAGCAGAATACCGCACATGCGTCGCCTCCTAGCCAGTGCCTGCTCTCTCAGGGCCCGTGTGCTCTTGCCTTCCCCCAGCGCTACATCGGCAGATGCGTCAGGGCCCTGCCTGCGCGCCTGTGGCATTTTAGGGCACTCTGGCAGACTTTCAGCTGCCTGCTTTTGCATCTGTTTGCCAAAGGGCGTTCTAAGCCCTCTGGAGCCTGCTCTGCTGTGTGTCTGCCAGGTGCAACAGCCTCCAACCAGAGACAGGTGGAGACGAGTACATGGCCCAGCTCCCTCCTCCTCAGGTGGGCACCCCAGGGCACGTTCCACCCATCCACCAGCAGTGCCCTGCAGAAGGAAGCTCCAGTGCCTACTGTGGACCCTGGTTGACAGCACCGGAGTTATGTGCTTTCTGTCCTTCCCTGTCTCATTTCCACCTCCACTGCTGTGGTTTCCTGGGGTCACCTCTCAAACGAGCTGCCTGCAGTGGAATTCTGGTCTCAGGGCTTGTTCTGGGAAAATCCAAACTAAGACACCTGCATTACCTTGAATCTTTGTGGCAACCCTAAAAGGTAGTTACTATTAACAACCCCACTTCACGGATGCAGGAACTGAGGCTCAGAGAGGTAAAGTGACACGCTTAAAGTCATGCAACTAATAAACAGCAGATCCGGAGTTGGGTCTCCTGATTCTAGAACTGGACTTTGTAACCTCTCCACTACACTTTCTCATACATTGGTATGGAAAAACCACTCTTCTTTGAAGAACTCAGCCATAAATGCCGTGGCAGCATTAACAAGTACAGCCATAGGGAGCAAATACCACTGATGGTTTTGGGAGGCACGGGGTTTGAGACAGGGACAAGACGAGCAGAGCATTCCTCACCCTCCCTCCACTTCCCAAACCTAGTTCTATCTCCCTTCTCCTGCCTGCCTATGCCTTTTGGCTTGATGGGAACTAGAGATGGGAGAGAGAAGCAGGAAGAAGAGAGGCAGGACAAAAGGATGGGAGAACAGAAGAATAGCAAAGTAGGAATATTCAGCCAAACTTCTTTGTGTCCGTCCAGAAGAGAGCAGAACTCAGAGTTATTTCACCCCTATTCTGGGTGGCCCCTCATGTCCACGTCAACCCTAGGAAGACGGTGTGTAGGTGACTTTGCATCAGAGGAAAGGCAGCCTGGGGAGAATACATTGCTGAGGGTCCTGGAGCTGGTGAGCGCTAGGCTTGTACGGGCTGGCCTGCCCCACGAAGGCCCACCACGGCCCTCTGAGCCTTCACTCCCAGAGAAAAACCCCCTGTGGTAAAAGGAGACTCTCCCTGGAAAAGAAAGTTGCATTTAAACACGGAGGTGCGGAGCCCTCTGAGAGTGTTCCCCGCGGCCCCTGGGTACGGAATCAGTGCCATATTAGGATACAGCTTTTGCTGACCCTGTTACAGCTCAGGAAGGCAGGTCAAGTGGGATTTTTAATGCCAAGCTTTCTAAGACCCAAGCCCCGTTTCTTTCCTTTCTTGCAGTGGGGCAGGAACGCGGGCAGTTGTACAAACCTCTCAGATCTGTCATTCGGCTGTGGGCTTCCGTAAGGTTTTCCCGTAACTTCACGATGACCTCCTGCTGAGACAGGATTTCCTTCTGAGCAGTCAATAAGTCCCCTCTGAAATTCACAAACACAGGCGCAGTCAGTTCAACTCCGTCTCCGTGGTGCCTGGAAGGGACCAGGAACAAGGCAAAATGATCCCCAATCGATGATGGTCCATGTGACACCAGTCCCAGCAAGCGGGATGGGGATGCTCTTTAAAAATTCTCAAAACAAAAATTCATTTTGATGCACCTTCCTTAAAAAGAAATACTTCGAGATGGAACAAAGGATCCTAGCTGGGTTTGGTCTGAGGTTGAAATATGACTTGCATGTGGGTGACACTTCTTCCTTGATCTCTGGTGGAAAGAGGAGGCGACACTATTTTTTCGTGGGTTCAGGGATTTTTGAGGACAAGGAAGAAAAGAGAGAGAGGAGGAGATTAAGGCTTCCGTTCTCTCACCAGCTACTTTTAATTCCTGATGGAGAGAGCTGGGGCCAGAAGTGAACGAACGGTGTTCATGGGACCCTTTGGGGAAGTAGGGGCTTTGGGGCCCAGATAATCAGGGGGGACACAGAGAGGGGGAGATGAGGACAATTCCTTCCCCCCAGAGGTCAGGACATCTTGGGCACCATGATGCTCAGGGTGGTGGACAGGGAGGCTGGCTATGCACAGCGGAGAATGTTCTTGGGGAAGTGGGCCCAGCACCACGGCAGGCAGAGGCGCCTTGATGGGGGTTAAGCGGGAAGCACACGGTGTGCATTTCTGAGCGGGTGTGGGACACTTCAGCCCTGAGGAAGATGTGTTATATGTGTGTGTGTGTTGGGGGCAGGAAGAAGACCTGTGCTCTTGCACATTCCGAGGGGGTCAAGAGCCTCAGTCTTTGGGAAGGTATTAATGTCACTTGAGTTCACAGGCTTTTGAAATCCACACTCTTCTTATATAGACTTTTGAAGGTAGAGTGTGTGTTTATCACAAAATCAAGCAAAATACTGGCAAGTTGCATGTCAAAAAAAAAAAAAAAAGATCTGTGTGTGTGTATGTGTCTGTCTGTCTATCCATCTAATCTCCTTCTCCTTGGCTATAACTCTTCCAACTTGAGGATGAAACTTTAGCACTCAAGGGCATGCACGAGCTAATGAAGTGGACCAGAGAAGAGCAATACGGGTGCTGACTCTTCTCCGAGTCATGGCTACTGTTGTCCTCAGAGACAGTCCTACTAGGAGGAGTCAGTCTGGAACTTTTCAGGATGTGCAGGCTGGGTATCTTTGCCTTTTAGGGGTAAAAACTTGGTGACATTAGACTTTGGCAACTGATACTTGGAGCACGGATCAGGCTGGTGGCTTGTCTGCCTTCGGAAACTTTCTGAATCCTTTCTTTGTACCACATTAGTGCCTCCCTGCTTATATGCTGCTCGGCAGTGGCTTTCTGGATCTTTCTCATCCATGGGTTTTGTTCCTCTGAAAACTGTCAGTTGCCTGAGGCTCAAGGTATGGACTTTTGGGTTGGGAGGGCTCTTCAAGGTCATTTGGTCCAAACTCTTAGCTTTTAAGCCCCTCCAAGACCCCACTCCAATAAGGGGTCTCCACTGTTTGAAATCTCCACTGTCTGCTTATGCCTAGGAACGGGCTTGCCTGGAGCAGGTACTCAGGAAAAATAGCTCATCATAGTATTAGGTAGCATTTACTGAGCAACTTCTATGCGCCTGGCACGTACCGCCTGATTTTAAAAATGAAGAAGCGAAGGCACAGAAAGCCTGTGACTTGCCCAGGGCCACACAGCTGGAGAGTGTTAAGCTGGGGTTTGAACACAGATCTACCCACATCTTTCTACGACACCACCCTGATTTGCTAGGGGAATCGAGAAGACCCCAGACCCAACTCCTTTTTTCAGATCCTGACCACACGGTCAGAAGCAGCGGGTTTGGTCTGTGCTTGCACACGCTTCGGGTACTTACATCAAGTGGTCACACACTGTGTCTTTGGCACCACTCTCCAACGGAGGCCCTGCTGGAGGGTCTTGCTGTGTTTCCTTCTCTTGGGCTGAATCGGGGACACGCGAGCGTTATTACAGTCTGCACACAAAGGAAGCCTTCCTTCCCCATTGCTTATCAACACACCTACATCTTTCCCAACTTATAAACACTCCCTACACCCCGCAGCCCTCTCCTCCTAATGAGACCCAGCATGTGTTCTGTGTCACAGCCTGCGGCACCCCCATACACAAGCTCATTAAATCTTTCGAGCTACTCTATAAGGCAGGGATCATCAATTCCATTTATGCATGAAGAAATGGGTGCAGGAGTGACGGAAGCTGCGGGTGACAGCTCAGCTAAGCTGGTGAGAGGTGGAGCCTTAACCACCGGGTCACACCTTCTGCCCTGTTTCCTCCTCTCCACTCAGACGAGAGTCTTGTCCTGCCCCCACCTCCCGCCTCCTCCTCAGCCCACTGCCTTCTGGTTTCCATCCTCCCCACTCAGCCACACGTTCGCTCGCTCATTTAGTCACCCAACTTCTGCTTTATGGCAGGCACCGATCTCAGTGTGGGGTGGCAAGGATGTAGTCATCCTTCACATCCTGGCTTAAACAACCGCCCCCCCCCCCCCCGACACACACAACCTGGACCAAGGTTGGGAAACTGAGTCCCGCTCCACGCCCTCGCCGTGGTGCCCCGTTTATCCTGGGTCACCCATCATGGCAGTCGTTTGGCTGACTGCAGGGACCTTGCCTGTCTTCATCACTGAATCCCAGTGCCTTGGAACATAACAGATGCCTAATTAAGAGTGTTGAGGGAATGAATGCATGAGGCGAACCCCACAGCTCTCAAATTAACACTAGGACCGCAGTTCTCGACCAGGCAGGAGCATCCCCCCAGAGGACAGCTGGCAATGTCGGGAGACATTTTTGTTTGTCACACTGGAGTAGAGGGGGCTGCTGGCATCTATTACAGGTAGAGACCAGGGATGCTGCTCAACACCCTACAGCGCCCAGGACAGCCCCACCGCAGAGACTTACCCAAAGGCCAACAGTGCCGAGGGGAGGAACCCTGGCTGGAGGCCTCTGCTGCCAGAACTCTCCTCCAGGAGCTCAGTGTCTTTGCAATAAGATGCGTTACCTTGGTCATTTAGGGCAAGTAAGTGCTTACCACTCTGAGGTTTTTTTTTCAGCCTTTTTTTTTGTTGTTTATGAGACAAACCCCGGCTGGTTATGAAAGTGCATTAGACAAAGTCGCAGATTGCTGAGGGCAGAGAGGAGCCTTTGAAAGGCGCCTGCATGGGATGTTTCCATGTGGAAAAGAAGATTCCTGGTCACGCTGCTGTGACCCACCCCCCTCACGGCCCTGGCACCCCGTGTGCCTCGCTGGCTGGCTGGCTCAGCACAATGGGTGTCCTGACTCATAGCTGTGACTTCTGTCTAACCTGGGCCCTGAGGGCCCCTAACCTTGTGTAACAGGAAGAAAAGGGGCCCGTAGAGAATAAATGAGCTTTTAAATGATGCTCGGCCTTTTCTTTTCCATCAGCCTTTTGGGGCCCACAGGATAATCAGAACCCGCCCTGAACACTAAGATTTCCTCTGCATCTCTTCCGACCAACCTGGATCGTTGTCCTTCAAATTTGCAATCTCTCCTTCTATTTTATTGTGGTGTTCGGTCACTTTTTGGAGTCTTTCCTCCAGGCTCACGATCGTCTCAGAGTGCTGTTTGATCTGCTCCTTGTATTCCATGATTTCGTCTTCAAATCCGTGTTTCTGTGATTCCTGTTCCTCCTGGAGCGCCTTTACTGTCTGCTGTTGCAGCTGCAGCTGCTCCCCCATCATGATCTGGGAGAATGGAGAAATGATTAATGTGCTCTTGGGAGCTAGATATGATGACAATAACAACAGTAACAACACGGCCCCTTTGGACCCATAGCCACTGATCCCGGTCCCACCTCAGGGCCTTTGCATATGCTGTTCCCTCTGCAAGGTACACTCTTCCCCTAGCTCCTTGCATGGCTGACTCCTTCTCGTGTTTCAGATCTCAGCTCCAATGTCACCTCCTCAGGGAGGCCCTTCTTGACTGCCTGTCTAAAGCAGCAGCCTGAGACACTTTCTAGTCCATCATGGTGTTTTATTTTCCCTGAGGTGCTTATCACCATCTGAATTATCTTTATTTCTCACTCGCACTAGAATGCAAGCTCTGGGAGAGCAGAAACATCTTTGCTTATTACCAATATACCCCCAGTGTCAGCGCCTGGATCCCTGCCACAGCCTCTAGACACTAATGCTCAATAAATGTTTGTCGAATTAATGAATGCACAATTTTACAAGAAAAAAGAGAATGAATGCGTATTTCTTAAAAACAAAAATTGCCAAAGATCCCCAAACGGCAAACCAGACCCTTTCCCATGAGTGCCCTCTCTTTTTGAGGCTCTGCTCTGCGCTTCCCTCTCGGTGCCTGATCCGAGCTCCCCTCCCGCTTCTCCGACCGTGCCTTCTTTGCTCTCTGGATGACATCATACTCCTGCTCCCGGTTCCGGCTGATGGTTGGCACATTGGACACCGGCCTCCCATCGCCTCCCGATGTGCAAATTCTTTGCCTGAGAAGCTCACGCACGTCCGCTGTTTCAACCATCACACCCACGAGGCTATCTTCAAATGTAGATGTCTTGTCTTGTTTCTTCTCCAACTTCTCTTGTACCACCAAAAGTCTGGGGCACTTTTGAACTGTGATACCCAACCCTCGCCTCAGTCTGAGCTCTTCATCTTCTCCAGAAGAGGGTCCCTCCCGCATGAGGAAGTCCTCCCTCTGGTCCTCCATTTCCATCAATATGCCACCATATGCCAACATCTCCCCGGGTGCCCTGGCTTGAAGCGCGCCTGTCTCCTTCAGCATCTCCCTCTCTTTGGTTCTCACGTCTATTCAGTCAGTTATCAATCCCGCCTCTTCTCTTGTACCTCTCTCCACAGCGACTCCTTCCTTTCCATTCCTCTGCCGCCCCAAGTGTCCAGGTCCTTGTGCTTCTGGACCACAGCGACAGCCACCTCACGCCACACTCGGAGCTGGTCTCTCCAAGGCCAGTCCCTCTCAAATTCACTTTGTGCACTTCTGCCAGATTAATCCTCATTACCTCCTTGCCCACAGGCCTGTCGGTGGAAAGTATGAATGACAGACGAGTGCAAAACTGAGACCTGATGGTGGAGGGCTTTGAGTGCTGAGCTAAAATTTTAAAACATTATCTTAAAGTCTGCAGGATAGTCTCCGATCACTAAATTCTGGGGCTCCTCAGTCCTTCACCCTGATCCTGTGAGGACCCTGAATCACAGTATCTTAGAAAGCCCTGGAGAGTGGGCATCACAGCCTCTATTCGCCTTACATGTTAAACGAATGCTTCCCAACAGAGGGCGATTTTGCCCCCAAAGGACATTTGGCAAAGTCTGAAGACATTTCTGATTGTCACACTTGGGGTCCTTCTGGCATCTAGTGGGTAGAGACCAGGGATGACACTAAGTCATCCTACAACACACAGGACAGTCCCCCACAAGAAAGAGTTATCCAACCGGGGATGCCAACAAAGCCGAGGCCGAGGGGCCCTCGTCTGAGCCGCGGCTGCTGGTGGCGGTGTCGTCTTGCCTCGACGGAAGAACTCTCCCACCTCCGAAAGGCGCTGACTTACCACTTTTGTCTTAGCCATTTCCAGTTCAGCTAAGGCCTCGTTCAGCTTCATGGCCAGGCTCTCTGCTTTCAGACTTTCCGCCATCTTTGTTTTCTGAGTCTCTTCTACCACGGCCAGTGCATTGTTTAATTTATTAGTTAAAACGTCTTCTTTCTGCTCTTTTAAATCTATTTCCTAGACAAACAACAAACACCAAATTACCAGAAATTCAGGAATAAATGTTTACCGCCCCCTCCCCCTCCCGTTTGCAGAGAGGAGGCAAACTCTACCCTGTTATTTTTCTGTTGATCCTTTTTAAGTCCAGAGCTTTCTCTGGAAGGTTCCCATTATTATTGAACTCTTTTTTACATTCAGCTGAGATCTGTCTCGTTGTGATGTCTGTCTGGTCTCTGAGCTCGGTTCTGTCACCTGGAGCCCACTGAGTAAGTTTTCTTTCTCTTTTATGAGACAGCCCTTTAAACATTTGAGGAGGGCTGTCATGTCTCTCTCTCAATCAATTTGCCAGGATAAATGTGAGTTCCTTCACCCCTTCATCACAGGACCTGCCTTCAGGACATTTCTGCGCTTTCCTCCGTGGCTTTGGCCCTGGGATGACCTCCCCGCCTCCCTCCAGGCCCTGCAAGACTGGCCTCCAGGCGCCCCATCCTTGCACATCTCACCCCTCCTCCTGGAGCTCATTCTTCTAACCTTTGACTGTCAAAATTCTACGCTCCCCGAGCCCCTCCTGAAATAACGTGGAATGTGGGTTTTGTGACAGGCACTGTGCTTGGCGCTTTACGAACTTCATTTCTTTATTTGACTTTGTTTTTAAGAGCAGTTTTAGGTTCACAGCAAAATTGAGAGGAAGGTACAGAGATTTCCCAGGTACCCCCTGTTCCCACACATGCGTGGCCTTCCCCATTATCAACACCCCCCACCAGATGGTGCATCTGTGACAACCCATGGACCTACACTGACACATCATAGTCCCCCGAAGTCCACAGCTGACATTAGGGTTCAGTCTTGGTGTTGCACATTCTGTGGGTGTGGACAAATGTAGAACGCCCCGGATTTGCCGTCTCAGTATCACGCGGAGTCATTTCACTGCCCTAAAGACCCTGCGTGTTGCTCCTCCTCACCCCCTCCCCTCACCACCACCCAGCCCCTGGCGACCACTGATGTTTTTACTGTCTCCACAGTGTTGCCTTTTCCAGAGTGTCGTATGGTTGGAATCACAGTGTACATAGCCTTTTCATGAACGTGATTTAATCTAATCTAAAATGCATTCTTGAGATGTCGTGCTGGGCATACTCAGACTCTGTTGGTGGCAGTGTAAACCGGCCTGACCTTTCTGGAGGGTTATTTGGGAACATGTATCATGAACCTGAACATGTTCATACCCTGTGACCCAGTAATTCCACTTTTGGGAATTTATCAAAAGGATGTAACCACACACGTGCACAAAGACTGCTCTGCAGGGTTGTTCAGCCAAGCATTTTTTTGTGTGTGTGAGGAAGATTCACTCTGAGCTAACATCTGTTGCCAATCTTCCTCTGTTTTTGCTTGTGGAAGATTAGCCCAGAGCTAACATCTGTGCTAATCTTCTCTGTTTTGTGTTGGGCTAATCTTCCTCTATCGTGTATGTGGGATGCCTGCACAGTACGGCTGATGAGTGGAGCAGGTCTGCGCCACGGATCCAAACAGGAGAACTGGGGCCGCTGAAGCAGAGCGCACAGAACTGTAACCTCTTGGCCACGGGGTCGGCCCCCAGGCCAAGCAGTTTTTACACTAGCGAAAAGTGGGAAACAGCCCCAGTGCCTGACTGTAGGGGAAGAGTAAATGAATTGGGGTCCACCCAACACAGTGTAAACCCAGGTCATCCTTCAACGGCAGGTCGTGGAAGAATGTTCAATGACGTGGAGACAGCACTCAAATCAGTGTGCACAATCTAACTGTGTAACTCACTTTGTAATAAATCGATATTTGTCTATAATAATGATCAATATACAGACAGCCTGGAAGGAGTCACATCAAAATGTCACCAGCGATAACTGCTCAGTGGAATCATGGGGAGTTTATTTTCTTCTAAGTGATTTTCTTTTTTTTTTAAAGATTGGCACCTGAGCTAACATCTGTTGCCAATCTTCTTTCTTCTTCTTCTTCTGCCCAAAGATCCCTGGTACACTGTTGTATATTTTAGTTGTAGGTCCTTCCGGTTGTGGCATGTGGGATGCTGCCTCAGCATGGCTTGATGAGCGGTGCCATGTCTGTGCCCAGGATCTGAATCGGCGAAACCCTGGCCCACTGAAGTGGAGCGTGCGAACTTAGCCACTCGGCCACAAGGCCAGCCCGAGTCATTTTCTGTATTTAAAAAATTTTTTAGAGCAAACAGTTGCTTCTTCTATAATTGAGAAAGGAAACTGATTTTTTTTGAAAAACAAAAACCATTTTCATCATGTGATTTTGGCAAGTCTCACCTGGGAGTCACTTCACTCTCTTTGGTTCACCTCTGACCTCTGTCTGATTCTTTTTTTGGGGTCTGAACATCACCATTACTGTTGAGAAATCCCAGTGCAGACAATGTGCAGACCCTGCCTAAGAGACGCTCACTGGGGATGCTGGTTGGCATCCCACAGAGCAGGCTGTCCCCTACAGCTCACAGCAAAACACTCCAGCTATCCCAGAGAAGGCACAGTAAGCTGAGATGGTTTCTCTGATGGGCCAAGAAGCTGCCTGGGGGCAGAACACGCTGGCCGGAGTCTTTTCTCCTTGCCAGTGACTTAGCAGCTGATTCAAACACAGGAGAACAAAGTTCACTGTTCCCACGGGTCTGAGCTTATTTTTCTCCCCTCTCCCTCCTCTTGCTCTTCTATAAAACCTATTTTCGCCTGTGTAGATGCAATCTTTCCATTGCTGTGTATACAAGTGAAACAGCATGCACATCAGCGACCCTCCGTCTGAGCGGGTCTTTGACCTTGTGCTTCCTCGGTCTTTCCTGGCAAAGGGGGAGTCCCGGGCTTGGAGCTCCCTTTCTCCTTGTCTGGTGTGATGCTACCAGCCTGCCTGGAGGGTTGTCATAAGACCCAACCCTCACGTCACCATTGTTTTAAGGTTGTTGGTTGCACTGCAGAGTCCTCTGTATGATGATTCTTAGGAGGAACTCTCTCTGGGCTGAGGACCAAGAATGGTCCAGCTTCCACGAGCAACTGGTCCATTTTCATCTAGTGAATTGTACGCCCACGGGGCTTTCCCTCTCCCTCTAACGGCTAGAGTAAAATTGTGACCCATTCACTGATTTCACGATACACAGTTTTTTTTGTTAGTCTCATTTCTGATCCATTTAAATTTTTAATTTCTCCTTTTCCCCTGCCCGTAACTGAAGGCTTTGACAGAAGATCCGCAGTGAATCATTTGGGGAAATGCGGCTGCGAGTAAACAGGCTGCTCCTCCCGGGCCCTCTCGGCCTGTGGGCCGTGCCTGCACACAGCGAGCCCTCCAGAAGCGCGTCAGCCCGGAGCTGACAAGCCTTGCGTTACTTCACCCAGCTCTGGTCTGCCTTCTCCAGACACACTCCAGTTACTCAAGGAGCCTCTTTTTTTTAAGGGGTGCCCAGGACTGGTATGTGATCCAGATGTGGCTTACGGACCCTAGTCCCCCTCAAGCAGAGCTGTTCCAAGCGTGCCAGGACCACCTGGGCTGCCTGGGAACATGCAGATTCCTGAGTCCCCACTACAGACGCTGAATCAGGGTCTCGGGGGGGAGGCCCAGGAAACGGGCATTTAAAACAAAGCCCCCAGTGATTCTGGGCGTGCTAATGTTCGTGAACCATACTTCGAAGAAAATGATTCAAGATTGATATGAATAGATTTAAAGACCTTTTTAGTCCCACGTGGTCTTGAAAATCCTTTGAAATTATATTTATCTGTATTTAAATTTAACCCACGGTTGTCTGGTTGTGTGTTGATCACTTGCTTTGACTTTTGAGATATTGGCCAGAGAGTGTGTGTGTGTGTGTGTGTGTGCACGTGTGCGTGTGTGTTCCCAGTAGTGCTGGGACCTAGGGGGAGTGAATTATGTCCTGCAGCTGGGAGGCGCCCAAGCCCGGGTCGTGTGCAACAAGTTCTGCTCCTCCCACGCCTACTACTCCCAGTCATAATGTAAATATGGTTTCATGACCAAGGGGATGCTGGTGATGATGACAAGTTCTGGTGGGGAAATGACATCAAGGTGATCAGAAATTGAGGCATCCATATGCTGACACCCCTCTTTTACCCTAGACAGTGAGCCCACACGAAGCTCCAGGACAGCAGAGAGAGGAGGGGTGACAACGAAGGGTTCCCGGGTCAGATAGTCCTGGGTTCAGATTCTGCCCCTCCACTTCCTGGCTGTGAGCTTGTAATGACAATAATAATAAAAGCAGCCCACACACAGCACACACTGAGGGCCAGGTCTTTTTCTATGTGTGTTGTGTGCACGTTAGCAATCAAGCCTCCAACCCAGTGAGTCCTCTGTATTTCATAAGTGGGGGAACCAAGGCACAGAGATGGTAAGTGATTTGCCTAACATCCCTCAGCCAGAGAGTGGCAGAGGTAGGATTTGAACTCAGACCGCCTGCCTCCAGAGCCTGCTCTTAGCCACGCCAGCTCCTCCGTGCCTTTTCCTCTCTGGGACTCGTACCTCTTTCTGCTTGGTTATGCGGTTCTCCAGATCTTGTACCTTTTTCTTTTCCTTCTCTATGGCCTCCTTCGCTCTGTGTCTCTCATAGGCGATGCTGTTCTCTGAGATCTGGAAGTCAATGACAAGTGGTTGGAGGGCGTGTGCAGGAGAAAGGAAGGGAAATGACATTGCAAAGGGAACCCAGGGTTAGTAATTGTCGAAACCAGTGAGTCAGGGGCAGGGGACAAGAACTCCAGGAACAGGACGCCTGTTGGCGAGAGAGGCCGGAGTCTGGCGAGCCCACCACGGCGCGAGCTTGGCAGTCACGTCTCGGTTAGTCATGTGCACAGAGAGAGAGTGATTCGTCATTCAGGATTTCTGGGCTGGCGTTCAGGAAGTGAGAGGCTGGTGAGTGTTCAGGTCAAGGCGTTTGGCACTGAGCCACCGACTAAACTGGCCGGTGCTGGCACCACTGTGAGCCCTTGTTGGGAAGTACCTGGCTTCTTGGGGGGCGGGGCAGGAGAGGCAAAGTGAGGGGAGAGGCCTCCTGTCCCGCAGGCTCGATGCCTGTGGCTTCAAAGCACACTGGTGGTCCCTGCCCAGCCTACAAAGGCTTGGATCCAAAAACTGATGTCCAGGAGAGTTTGGAAGTAAGAAGGCACACCCCGCAGACTCGGTGATGGGGAGGGAGTTAGAGCCCAGCCTCACCTGCAGGAGCCCCAGGAGGGGCTGAAGACCTCTACCTGCAGCTGTCGAAACTCATGCAGTCATGGTCCCCTCCCCCTACAGACAGAAAGCTCCCAAGAAAAATATTTTAAGTATATGTATACATGCACAGACAGACTGAGAGATATGTAAATAGTGGGTATTTTGGGGGAATTGGGATTATGATCACTTATATTTTCTGCTTTTCACTGGTCTGTATCTTCTAAATTTTCTTTGGTGAACACGCATTATTTGGCAAATAGAATGATGACAGGAAGTTGTTACAGGGAATGCTATGCTGGGGGCGGGGGTGAGATCTGGGGATGCGCGGCCCTGGAGCGGCGGCGCTCGTCCCAGCAGCCCTGCGGCTCCGGTGTAGGGTCCGTGGCCTCCATCCATGCTGCCCCTGGACACGGGCCTCCCACCACACCCGGGCTCTGACTCCCCTTCCTGCACCAGCTGGGAGGTCCCCACTGCCAAGGCTGCTTAAGACTGTCCAGCACCCCCGCCAAGCTATGTCCTGCCTGTCGTCAGAGGCCCCCTGCGCCCTTCTGCACGCCCCGTGAGGAGGGTGTATTATGCACTGCTTGGCATATTACAAATGAGAATAACAATGACGACGCTGACCAAGCTTTAAATGCTTGCGACACGAGTGCCTGGCACCGTGTGCTGAATGCAAGACTCAGATAGCAGCTGCCCAGTTATCCCCACTTTGCAGGTGAGGACACAGAGGCTGTAAGTGAGGCAGTAAGAGGACAAGAAACGTGCCAGGTCACACCACCAGGAAGCAGTGGTGTATGCTCGGAGGACAGTGCCCCATCCTAACCATTCTCCCACCCGACCTTGCCTTACCTGTCCTCCTGATTTAAACCCCACCCTGCCTGGAGGCAGGAGACATGCTTATATGTTCACACTTAGGCTGGCACAGAGTCTGCTCCACCGCCCAGCAGGAGCCCACGCTTCAAACCCCTACCCCTGATCCATCTGTAAAATGGTTGCTCTGGGGACAGAGTGGACCAACGGTTTGGGTCCCATCCCTTAACAAGACTTGCTCTGTGTGGTGTACCCTCACACCACCTGGATTCTGACCTGACTTACCTGCATAGGCTGGCAAGTGCCACTGCCAAGGTCTTTGCTTGACTGTGCAGCATGCCCCACTGCCGCCCTGCTGTGCACACATCCTCCCCACCCTTCGACGACTCTGACCTCACCAGGCAGGTGCTTCACAATGAATGCATTGACTTCTCACGACAAACCTCTAGGGTGGTTCTGTCACTAGACCATATTACAAAGGAGGGTACAGAGAGGGCAAGGGGCTTGCCCAGGATCACATAGCATGTTAGGGCAGAGCTGGAACTGGAACCAGAATTGACACTTTCAGCCCACTAAGCTCTCCTGTCATGCCCTGCTTTGCCCACTCTGTCTCCTTCCTGCTTTTCCCCCCTGACCCCTAATTCGGCTTCCATCTTGCTGCAGCTTTATTTCACTCCTCAGGCCCCTGCCCCCACCCCCTGACTAACTCGGGTCCGATCCTTTGCACTTGGCCCACTTGCCCCAGGGCATTCTCTCCCCCAAGATGTTCCCCTCATTCTTTGTCTCCCTTCCAGGTCTCACTCAACGTCACCTCCTCAGAGAGGCCCTCCCTGCCTGCAGGCCAATCTCTAAGCCACGCTCTTTGTCCTCCCCACAGTGCCTGTGGCTCTGGAGTCCTCCCGTGTACATGTTGACAGGGGTGTCCCCTATCCCAGTGTGGAAGCTCTGGAGGGCACAGCCCCGGTCCCTGACCCCCCACAGGGCCTGGCATGCAGCAGGTGCTCAGTAAATATTTGTGGCTAGATGCATGAAACGGAATTAGACAATTCACTGAGTCACCAGCTCTGTTTCTGGGAGTTCCACGAGGGCCGGCATGCGTCTGTCTGTGGCTCCCGTCCCTGGAGCCTGGCTCATGGGGATGCCATTACGGGTCGCTGAGGGAACGTCTCCCTGCCTCCAGGCTCCCGAGAGCCCTTCTTTGACTTCCAGGGCGTGACTTGGGTGTCCAGGCCAACTCAAGCAACATCCCTCCTCTCGACCTTGGGGCCTGCCTCTCACGGCGGCTCCAGGCAGGCGTGGCTGGGGGCCCAGTCCCCAGGCTGGCGGGGTGGCTGGATGTGGATGCCCCCAGCTCTGCCCAGCTGCTGGAAGCCCCTGCTCCTCCCCATGTCACCCTCTCCTTGAGGGTGCACTTCTCATCCATTCCAGAAGGCACTGACCTCTGGCGATTGCCGGACACGACCGCCCTGAGGATTCGTTATGTGCCTGTCTACTCCATCTGACTCCGCACTGTTTGTGTCTCTGCCCTTCCATCAGCCCGGGGAGGGTCTGTGGGGCAGACTAGGAACCCAGGAGGCTGGAGTCAGGAGGCAGTGTTTTCCTACTGCGCCCATGCTGGGCTGCATCAGCAATACTTTCTGATGACTAGGAGGGACGGACCCAGACTCCAACCCTGGGGTCCTCCTGGAGTGCATCTCTCCTCCCCAGAAGCTGAGCAGGGAACGCTTCTGCAGAGGGCCCTCTGTGTGCGGGGCGCAGTTCTAAGTACTTTATAGACATTAACTCATTTAATCCTGTGGGGCAGGGACTGGTGCATCCCCATGTTACAGATGAAGAAACTGAGGCACGGGGTTAGGCGCTCTGCCCTCGGTCATACAGCTACTAAGCTGACCGATGGCACACTGGCCACTGTGACGGAGGTGATGCTCGGGCCTCTGCTTGCTGTCCACCATCCTCTCTATCAGGCACGGGACACGGCCTTGCGTCCGGCCTTGGAGCTCCTCCCAAGGCGTTCTGGCTGCCGTGGCCCACATCCTCCCTCTCTGCTCCTCATACCTCCTTCTGTTGGGTTAAATGGTTCTCCAGATCTTGAACTTTTCTCTTCTCTGTCTCTAAGGCTTCCTTCGCTTTTCTTTTCTCGTGGGCCATGCTGCTCTCCAAAACCTGAAAATCAATGGCCAGTCTTTTTGGTTACTAACAATAATGATAATAGCTAAGCTGTCAGGGGTTGGTCTCGCATGCCAAGGTCCCTGGGCAGCCCTTCTCACACAGTTTACTCTCACGGCAACCCCACCAGAGAAGTTAGTGGCCCATCTTCCAGATGAGGAAACTGAGGAACAGAAAGCTGGTGAGGGCCCAAGGGCCATGCAGTTGGTCAGCAGTGAGGCCAGGATTTGAGCCCCGTGTGGAGGGACGCACGGGCCTGGCCTTGGGGGAGCGGGTGAGCAGAGGGAACCAGGCCTGTCACATTTGGAAGCCCGAGCTCTCACCACTGTGCCAGGCAGCCTCTCTGATAAGAAGAACCACCTCATTAATAATGGAATTTCCCATTATTGAAACAAATCTCCTAAAGAGATCGGGTTTCAAGAGGAGGGTGGTGGACTGAATTAATGAGCTACAATATACCAATTTCTAGAATGGGCGGAGGTGACCTCACAGGGGGCGCTCGGAGAGGATGCAGGGAAGAAACCGTGGTTGTATTTGGTCCTATAATCAAGGAATTTTCAGTAGGAAGTTGCTTGCTGATAAGCTATTCAATTAAATGGCCTAACACAAATCACCGAAGGATATAAATTGCTGGGAAGGTCCCTGTTTCTAGTCACTGCAAGAAAGGGCACCTCGATTTTCAAATGTGTTGTGTTTTAAACACCAGCTTGACTGTCACACATCTGGAACACAGTTTCCATTACAACCGGTGGTTAGGGTCCCAGACGAGTCTGCATAAGTATTTAATCCATAATATGGCTGAAATACTATGTCTTTCACAGAGAAGAGTCGTTGAAAACCCCCCAACACCCAGCCGTTCCAATGCCAGCGCTGAACAGGGCAGCACAACAGCACCGTCGTGGGGGTTTCACGTGTATTTTGAACGTTTGAGGCAGGATTCGAGGTAAGAGGTTCCCCTGTAATTTGCGAAAGAGACTTCGAGGAACTTTCCAGTGACTTGGGGCTGGCCCCACGACACCTGACCTCACGTCCACACTCGGGACTTTCCCCTTGGCAGCTCCTCGGCAGCTGAGACGGCCCGCGGGGAGGATCGTCCTCGCCCCACTCATACACAGGCCCCGTCCCGCTCAGCCGCTTTGCTCCCAAGTTCCTAGGCGGGCAATGGGAATCGACCCGTGACGATACCTCAAAACTCGCATCAGGACCTAGTGATACTGTTGTCCCCAAAGGCCTGTGTGATGATGCGGCAGAGGGTCTAATAAAAAGAAAAATTCAAATAACCGATTGAGGTTGCCCGAAGTCTGTGTCTTGGACTTTTCTCCCAGATTCCCCTGACAAGAAACCATGCAGAGGTTCTGCAGGACAAGTGGGTTGACGTTTTCCTAGGCCTGGGGTGACCCGGCCACAGCTCCTCCTGCAGCGAGGCTTCCCCCACCACGCTTTCCTTAAGTCTCTCCTGAAGTCCCCCGTGACCTCGAAAGCTCTAAATTCAAGGGCCTCCCTGACCCCGTGCTGTCGACCTCTGCGTGGCATTTGGCCCCGGCGACCCTTTGTGAGCCCCTCCTCCTCCTCGCTACCCTTGGAGAAATAACTCAGGGCCAGGCCTCCGTGACACTGTTTACCGAGGGCCACAGAGCACAGCTGTAGGGAGACCCACCCCGTAAACATCTCCCTGTCCGGCTCAGATCCTGTTTCAGAGGCTCCGCCCAGCAGTCTCCTTATTTCTCCCCAAGTGGGAGTGGGCCAGGAGCTACGCTGAGGAGTAGGGATGGAGTGGGGTTGATAGACAATGACACCTAGACAGAAGTAGAAGGAGAAGCAGAAGTGGCCGGGGTGATGATGATAACAGCTGCCACTTATGGAGCCGTGATTCCGGGTCAGACACTTCACTGTACGTTATCTCTACTCTTCACAGCCGCCCCTTAAAGAAGGTGGGAGTTGAGAGCTCTGTTCAGCCAGTAAGTGCTGCAGCTGGATTTGAACCTGTGTCTCACTGGGCTGCAAAGCCTGCACTCTTCACTCCTCTGTGCTGCCTCAGGACTGAAGAGCTAACGAAAGCATTATGTAAAAAAGACTCGGGGATCTGGGGCGGGCCACAAGGTAAGGATGAGTGAACAGTGTAACAGAGCTTCCCAAAAGCTAGTATGGGCATATCAATAGAAGTACAACTTCTTCAACAGGGGAGAAGAGAGTCCTGCCCTAGGCCACTAATGGCTGGAGAACTGTGTCCAGTTCTGGCCACCATACTTTAGGAAGGACATAGATGATGGGTTGCAAACTCAGACGCCTATAAGGTCTGGACAGGCATCAAAAATGAAGTGGGTTGTTTCACGCAATAGGGAATGGTGAGGACTGTGGCAGAGTGCTGCTACTTGGTTTAGCTCCAGTCTGTTTTTGCAAAGTAGAAACCAGGGCCAGATTTTCTGACCTTCTCGAGAGAGGATGGAAATCTGGATTTTCAAGTAGAGTTTATGAATTCAGTGTAAAACACTCAAGGGCCAAGCGTAACACGTCCACAGCCCCTTTTTTAGCCAGTGAGCTGCCCATCTGTGACTTGTGGAGAGCAGGGCAAGTCAAAAGAGGGGACCACGGCTAGGATCTACTCCTGTGAGGCATATAAGGAGAAACAAGGGCACTGGGGCTGGAGAGGAGCAGCTGGCTCTATTTTCAAGCTTCTAGAAGGCTAGTCTGTGGAGGAGGAAGTGGGCGGGGCTTGCAGGAGCCCAGCGGGCGGGCGGAGGATCCACACGTTTCTGGGAGAGTTTGCTTCAACTCAGCCTAAAGGAAGAATTCCCTGCCAGCCCAAGGTGTGAACACTGGGACGGACTGCCCAGGGGCGTAGAAAATTCCTTGGTGATGGAGCTGACGGCTGGATGATCTCAGGATGTTTGTGGAGGATTCACACAGCCCGAGAGCCCCGGGACTCTGTAATTCTTCCATTCCATGGGAGGCAATCTCCACGCAGAAGACCCTCATGTCGCCAGTCCCAACATGTCTCCCAAGCCCCATCTCTGACTATATTTTATGCTGTTTACACTCTTTTTTCCAACTGGTCATCAAGGCTACCACTCTCGGGTTCGCTCCTAGAGTACCCCTGCTTCTTCCCAAAGGAGCTGGGCCGGCCAAGGACAAATTACTCCCGGAAAGCTCCAGTGCGCTCTACCCCCCGCCCCCTCCCCGCCGTCATCTGTGGTTCTGAATTTACTTCCATGTGGCCCTCGAGCCGCATCTGGGCCCGAGCCGCCTCTATCTCCCCGAGCTGCGTACCTCCTTCTGCCGGGTTAAGCGGTTCTCCAGCTCTTGGACTCTGGTCTGTTGTTCTTCCAAAGCTTCCCTTGCTCTCCTTTTCTGTTGAGTAATGCTTTCCTCCAAAGCCTGAAAGTCAAAGGCTCTTGTTTAACAGGCAGTTACCATGGCAGGAATCTGGACGCCGTGCCAGGCACCGCACAGGTCAGCTCTTCCCTCCACAGCAACCCCATGGGGAGACCGGGGGCAGCACAGCCAGGAGCTCAGAGCAGGGCACCTGGAGTTGGCAGGCCCAGATGAGAGCCAGGTTGATCCTTCCTAGGTATATGACCTTGGGCAAGTGAGAAACTATAGGAGCCTCAGTTTCCCCATCTGTACAATGGAGACAGTAATGGTGCTTCCTGCACTGGTTTGATGTGAGGGGCAGGTGAGATGATGGACACAAAATGCTCGGCACATAATCATTCATTCATAAGGGTCGGTCATTTCTTCTGCCATCCTCGCTTTGCAGAGGAGGAAACGGACTTAGACTAAGGAATCTGCCCAGTTCACTAGCAAATCATATAAGCAGGAATTTGAACCCTGGTCCATTTGACTGTAGAGCCTGTGTTCTAAGCCAGGGGTTGGCAAACTCCGGCCCACTGCCTGCTTTTTGTAAATAAAGTTTTATTGGAACACCACGCTCGTTTGCGGATTGCCTCTGACTGCTTTTGCACTAGAGCAGCAGAGCTGAGCCGTCACGACAGGGACCGTATGGCTTGCAAAACTGAAAATACATACCATCTGGCTCTTTACGGAAAAAATTTGCCGACCCCTGATCTAAACTGTTCATGCCTGCACAAATCAGGTGAACACTGTTAACAGTTCACAATAAAAAAAGAACGTTAGTTTGATAAAAGAAGCTAGAATTTCTTACCATTGAAACAGCCCTCAAACAAGTCAGGATTCACGAGGACGAGCTTGGTAATGAGTTCGACACACGTATTTTTAGGTAGGGTGGGGGTTATCGTGTCATATGGTATGAAGGTTCATTTAAAATCAGGGCACTTGGCACTAAAGTCTGGGATGGTATTTGACCCGAGGGTCAAGCTGATCAACACAAGTGTTTGGGGAACGATGACCCTTGACGGGAAGGTGAACACGGGCCGCAGCCCCGTCTGTCTGGGTGGGTGCCTCATGTTGCTCCCCCCTCTGCAAGGGGCGGTGTGCGCTGAGGTTTGTGGTGTTAAAAGCCTTTGAAACCTCATCTCTGTCAGGAACGACGTTACAAATGGGCGTCTGGGAGGCCCAGGCTGGTGCCCAAGGACATGTTGAACACGGTGGGGCTGAAATACCGAACACCCACAGTGGAGAAAGTCCATCCAAAATTAAAAATAAAGTACGACCTCTGGAAAGGGGGGAAGTTAATCAGAAGGGGTGAGGAAACAGGTGGAGAGTTCTGTAAAGGTTTCTAGGTTCTCCTGGTTTTATTTTCCTCTCCACTGAACGGCACTGACTTTTTCTACATCTTATTGCCCTTCAAAATGGTCCCACCTTGATGTAACCCTATCGTTGATACCGCCTTTATGCAGCTCACCTGTGATTTTGGTCAGATGGTTCTTCCTTTTAAATTTTGTATTTCACAAAAGGCACAAAGGCAGAGAAAGAGGCAAGAGAAGAGGTAGGAGGACGAGAGGGATTTCTTGAAGTAACCAGGCATGAACTAGAGGGTGAAACCAAACACGCCTCTGCCTCTGCCCCCGGAGAGGCCTGGAGAGCAGGTGTGCACGGCAGAGAAGGATGGTCCAAGCCAGAAGTCACCGAACTGCCATCAATGAAGATGGAAGGTGCAGCAGGTCCAGTCTTCCTTAGGGGAAGAAATGAGGTGCTGGAGAAGAGCTGGGGTCCCGCAGATCTGGTGCTGCTGTCTTGAGGTGGGGGGCGGGGCAGCGTGCAGTGGCTGTGAACCGTGGCTGCACCTTGGAACCGCCCAGGAGCACTTACACATCGCAGTGCGTGAGCCACACCCTCACCTCAATTAGATCAGATCTCAGGGTGGGGGCGGGGGGGTGTAAGGCATTAGTATTTTTTAATCTCCTAAATGACAAAAGTGCAGCCAAAACCATGAGCCACTGATTTAGAATGATGGCAATGAGGTAGTTAAAGTCACGGCAGGTCCCTGAATACCCGAAAGGACCAACTCTAGGACAATGAGGAGAATTGCCCCATTAAGTGCAGTTTCACCGCCTTCTCCAGAGAGCCTGACTCAGTAGATGTGGGGCGGGGCCCAGGAATCTCTATTTTTAAATGGCGTCCAGGTGGCTCTTATCAGGCATCTTTGGGAAAACCTTCCTCCAAGGCTTTGCTGCAGAGAATGTGGTCTGCAGACCTGTGCTGTCAGCACCAGCCGGATGCTTGTTAGAAATGCAGAATCCTGGGCCCTGCCCCAGACCTGCTGAGTCGGAATCTGCATTTTAACAAGATCCCCAGTGGTCTTGGGGCACCTTTAAGCTTGCCAGGTGCTGCTGTAAAGTATCCTCTAACTGGTTTGGTTTCTAGAAAAGTAAGTAGCAATTTTGGCCATTTGTTTTCCCCGATGTGTATAAAGAGAAAGCAAAAGACTGAAAGAATAGGAAGCTGGTTGTACGTGGCACTTAGAAACAGTCTGTCAGTTACAAAACAGGACCTGCAGTAACAACTCAAATTTGTAACATCAACTGTAAAGTCTAAACAAATAAGGTACTGTTTCTAGAAATTTCAATAACCTTGCCTGTTGCTGAGTTTTAGAATTCAAGCTTCATGTTAATTCCTCTGGCATCATTCACCTTGTTTAATTAATTTAGTCCCACGGCACCAAACAAGGAGTTGCTGAGATTTCTCCATCTGGGTACATGCCCTCAGTTTCTCAAAGATGAGGCCATTTCATCGGTTTCCAGTAGTAAAGAAAATGACAGGGACCACCTTACCGCCTTCTCCTCCATCAGCTGCTTGACTCTGGCTTTCAGCTTCTCCTCTTGCTGTAGCCTTTCCTCCTTCAGCTTCTCCTTCTCTGCCAGATGCTCCCGCAGCTTTTCTTGCAGCAAAGACTGCTGAGCTTCCTGAGAACTGCTGATCTTGATCTGAAATGAAAGGCACGGAAGCCGAAGTGGGTGGAGAAGGGACTAAGGACTCATTTTCACATTTTTTCTCTGTAAGTTGTTTATTTTTGTGGAGAGGGACAAAGGTTCACACAAAACTTTCTTAACAACACGGGAAAACTAGGCTTAGCCTAGCCACTAGTAGGGAAGCATAGAGTATAGTGGTTACGAGCAAGGACGCTGGATCGAGACAGAGTCTCAGCTCTAGTTCTTTCCAGACGCTTCTTCATTTAGAAAGTGAGGTTACTAATAGTATCTATCTCTTAGAGTTGTAAGGACTAAATGAGATAAGGATGGGAAGCTTTTAGCTATAGTACGTGCTCAGTAAGTGGTAGACAAAATTATTTATTTGCTGAGTGTAAGAGGAAAAGCAGTGAGCTGGGGCCAGAAGGCGTGAGCTTTTGTCTCAATTCTTCCACTAACTAGCTGTGTGACGTAGAAACAGTCACCTAGCCTCTGAACTCCGATGTCCATACCTGGGGGAAAGGAGAATGGACTAGATCAGGGGTTGACAAACTACTGTCTGCAGCCCAAATTGAGTTCACTGCCTGTCTCTATAAATAGAGTTCTATTGGAACAGGGCCGTGGGCATCGTGCTCACTCATTTAGAGTGTCTGTGGCTGCCTCTGCTCTACCACAGCAGAGTCGAATAGGGGTGACAGAGAGTGTATGGCCTGCAAAGCCTAACATACTCACCATCTGGCCCCTTACAGAAAAAGTTTGCTGACCCCTGGACCAGAGGGTCTCTGTGGCTGATCGTAATGGTGGTCCCAATACTTCACCTTTCCTCCACCCGTGTCTTTGGCTATGTAACTTGTGTGCCCACCCATATCCTGCCCCCTGACACTGTACTCAGTCATGTGACTTGCTTGGGCCAATGGGGTGTTAGCAGACGTAACACAAGCAGAGGATTGAACAGCACTCCATGATGGGACCCGCTTTCTCTTCCTGATTTCGGCTTCCTCTGCTGTGGCCATGAGAACATGCCCAGGCCAGCCTGCTGTAGCTGAGGCCAGCCTAGATCAGCCAAGGGCCAGTCAACACCCAGACACGTGAGCAAGCCTGTCCAAGATCAACAGACTGGCCCAGCGGCTGACCCCAGACATGTGAGCAGGGAACAGTTGTGGATGTCACTAACGTTTTGTGGTTATTACACAGCATTCATACAGCAATAGCTACTGGGTGATACATTTCCTAAGGATCATTTTGCCTCACATGTTGACACGATGCAACTTTTGGTGATTGTCCTGCCTGTACTGGGGCTAAGTGTACTTCTCCCACTGTGTTTAAGAAACACAATTTTCAAGATCTGACGGCATTTAAATCTTTCTGGGTTTTGACAGATGAAAATGAGCATCCTTGTCCCCCTGGGAGATCTCAGCTACCCTGCCTGAATCTCTCCGTGCGCAAAGGGAGCTACCATTTCACCTTTTGGAGGGTGTGAACTGCCCGGCTAATAGAGAAAAAACAGGGTTAAATGCACAGGACTAGGTAAATACTGGAGAGGAGCTGGAACGCACTTCCAGAGTTAGGGCAGTACCTGGAGTTCCTGGGTCTGGCTGGTAATTTTTTTATAATGTTCCAGAAGATATTTCAGATACAAAGACAATCCTTAAAAAGAGAAGAATAAGGTAAGTATCAATTCAATTCACCTTCTTTGCTCTCTGAATAATGTCTTAACAGAGCTTGCCGACAGGTGGATGAGGACAACGCTGCCCTCCCATCAAGAAAATGTGAGCTGCCATCCAACTTGTGTTTGTAATATGGTTGGTTGATCAGCTTTGGTCGGGCTCAAATCCACATTTCTTTTTGGAGGTGGAAATAAAAAACAACCAACAGAACATCTATCGACTAAGTGTCCACTGTGGGCAAAGCTGTGTGCTGAGTGTGAGGGGATGACATGAAGCCATTCCTCAAGGCGCCCATGGTTCAGCCCGAGAGACAAGGTCCAAATGCCTGATAGGAAACACGCAGTGGTCCCAGGTAGCATGTGAGTGACTGCAGAAGGAGTAGGGAGTGTGAGCTCATTCGCCCAGAGTGATCAAAGAAAGCTGCTTGGCCGAGGGGCCCGGGATGCTGGGTAGGCAGAATTCAGAGTTGGAGGGGAGTGCCTTTCAGAATGGAGGATGTGGTGGGCTGAATGAGGGACCCAAAGACATCCAGGTCTTAATGCCTGGAGCCTGTGAATGTTACCTTCCAGGCAGAAGGAACTTTGCAGACGTGATAAGTTAAGGATGCTGAGATGCGGGATCATCCTGGATTATCTGGTGGACCCACTATAATCACACGGGTTCTCCTAAGAAGGAGACAGAGGGAGAGTGGACTACAGAGAGACGGGGGAGAAGGTGACATGGCCAAAGCAGAGACAGATTTGAAGATGCTACACGGCTGACTGTCAAGATGAAGGAAGGGGCCAAGAGCCAATGAATGCAGGGAACAAAGCTCTAGAGACGGAAAAAGGCAAGGAAGCAGATTCCTCCCTGGAGCCTCCAGAGGGAGCGGCGGCCGGCACATTGACTTTAGTCCAGTGAAACCGCTTTTGGAGGTTGGCCTCCAGAACTGTGAGAGAATAAAGATGCTTTGTGTTAAGCCGCTAAATTTGTGAGAATTTGTTATAGCAGCCATGGGAAACTAACACAGTGGGGAGCTGGGGAACAGCAGTGCATGTCCTGGGAGAGGGTGGCACTTAAAGGGGCTGCAGAGACGATGGCAGAGGGGTGGAGCAGGAGGAGGGCTGGAGTGGAAGGCTGAGGTCAATCTGCGGCGCGTCTAGAGCAGCAGCCTGCTCTGTGTTGATTGAACATCATTGAAACCGTGCCCTCTGTGGTCGGCCCTCCGCTAAGCAATTGACACAACACCACACTGGATCAGTGGGTCATTGTCCCCTTTTGCACATGAGGCAGTTGGGTTCTGAGACACGTGGCTGCTGAGGGCCACACAGCTGGCAAAGGGCCGGGCCAGGACTTGGTGTGACTCCAGGGTCTGAGTCACTGCTATTTCGGCCACTGATGGAGCAGTGAGTGGCTTGATGAAGTGTCTTTTTCTCAGAAAAATACCTGGGACGGATTAGAGAGGAGGGAGCTGACTGAGTTTCTTAGCTGCAGCACTATTGATATGTTGGGCTAGACAATTCTTTGTTGTGGGGGCTGGTGTGTACATTGTAGGACGTTCAACAGCATCCCTGGCACTACTCACTGGAAGCCAGGAGCACCCTCGACCCCAGCTGTGACAATCAAAAATGTCTCCAGACATTGCCAAGTGTCTTCTAGTGGTAAAACCTCCTCCTCTGAGTCAGACCCAGGGAACTTGGCTATGAGTCAAAGGGACATCCAGGTCTTGAGGGCTGATGTTCTAAACTGGGTGGGAGAAGTGGTGATAAGAAAAAAGAATGAGAGAGGGAAAGCCTTCTCAGGGGTAGAATGGAGGTCCCACTGTCAGACCGAGGAGGGAGACAGATTGGGGTGGGTGGGGCTTGGGGAGAGGGGAGGACCCACCGGACTTTCGGACATGCTGAATTTAAGGTACTGGAAGGACTCCAAGGAGAGGTGGTCAGCAGAGAGCTGGACACCCTAGGGTGGTAAGACCAGGCCAGCTCATCCAGGGTCTTTATGTGAATTAGGAAAGAGCATCCTTCCTCCTGGTGGACACGGCTGCAGCCAGGAGCCCCACCTTGCTGCCTTGGCTGGGTTCCCTTATGTGGCACCAACCTGTACTCCGTTCCTGGCATCCCAGCACGCAGAGATGTCCCTTTGGCCATCACTGCGTGGGAGTGGCTGTTGAAGCACCTGGACTGGAGAGTTTCTTCATGAGAAGGAGATAAGAGAGGGGAGGACCAACGACTGCCTTGGAGGAAACGCTCAGGTGGGGAAGCGAATGGCTGGAAGGGGCTGCTGTCGGGAGAGAGGAAGGGAGAATCCAGGGCTGAGAGGCATTGGAGAAAGAGAACCAAGAGCTCGGGGCAGGCCAGAGAGAACACAGGCTGGGGGAAGACGGTGGGCCTTCCTTGCAGCCTCCCGTCAGGTGCTTGCCTGGGGCAAAGCAGAGAGGCAAGGACAAAGCAGGAAGCGGGCAGTGAAGACAGAGGATGTGGCACACTTCTTCAAGATCATAGGTGGGACAGGAGCACGAGCAGCAGAAAAGGCGTTAAGGAAGCAGTGGGCTCCAGTAAGGAGTTACCATCTTGAAGCGCATGTTTGATGGCAAAGAGAAGGAGTAAGAGGGAAAGAAAGGCTGTAGATGCCAAAGAAGGAGGTTGTAATTCAGGACCCCGTGCACAAGATCCCTTGGGCAGGAGAGAGAAGGGAAGACAGAGGGAAGAAAGAGCTGCCTCTGGAAGGAGAACACAGTGAGGAAGATGGAGGGAAGGGAGAAAAGATGGGTACAGAGAGACAGAAGGGAGCTGAACATGCGCATGCCTGGGGCCTGGATCTCCAACAACGCAACTTTCTGAGAATTTCCAGTGTGGAAGAGGGAGAATAATAATGTCATGATAACAGCTATCAAGTATTAAGCACCTGCTGTGTGCCAGGCACCGTGCCAGGAGTTGTACACAATGTATTTTCCAGTCATTATAAACAACCCAGCAAGAAAATGTGTTTGCATCTACAGCTGAGAAAACGGAAGCTCAGCAAGGTTATGCCCCAGAGCTGGTAAGTGGTAGGATCAGAAGTCAGAGCCGGGTCTGTCATTCTCTTTTAAAAGAGGCTGGAGGCTAGTGAGTAAGGGGTCCGGTTGGGTGATGTGAAGAGTGCACTGGGAGAGGTGCATTTTGGGGATACTGATGTGGAAATTAATAAAAGAAACCTCAACTAACTTGGAGTCAGGGAGGCCTGTAGGGGGAGCTCTCACGCCCTATAACACGTCATCACTTAGTCGGAACAGGAAGACACATGGGCTTGCATCTCCACAGGAAGTACAACTACTTTACTCCTGAAGGAAGATTCCTCTTCACATCGGCAACAGCCCAGCCAATGAGAAACGCGGCAGCTCAGCCAGCGAGGAGCTGTTGCGTCCTGAACTGTTGCTTTCCCCCACTGGACTTTCCTTTAGAACATCCCCTCCATACTCCCCCTTTTCCGCTGTAAAGGCAGCTCCCCTCTTTGTTTTCCAGATTTGCCTAAAGTTCACCAAGCACGCACATCCTGAATTGCAATTCTTTTGGCTGTTCTCAAATAAATTCATTTTGAGCATAAAATAACAGGCGAATTTGCTTTTTAAGTTGATACTGAGATGGCAGAGGTGGCCTGGCTGATGCTGGCTTGGGCTACAGAAACCAGGTGAGCACATGGATTTGTGGTGGCTGGATTGGCATGGCTCTGGGATTGAGCTCAGCTGCACCCTGTGGCTCAGTAGAAGGAGAGCCAGATCCTGGGTAGGGATCCAGAGAGGACTGGGAGAGGAGGGGGTCAGGGTGTTAAAGCGGAAGAGCGAGTGTGTGATCACGTTTCTAGATTCGATGACCAACTGTAATCATAATGGGATTTCCCTCTTCGGGAGAAGGAGCAATTATTGATCATATTTCTGGTTACAAAAGTTATATGTGCCTATTACACAAATCCAAACATGACAGAAATCCATAACGTGGAAAGTGTTCACCACTATACCTTCAGTGGCCAACGCACAGTAGGCCCACAATAGATAGTTAAATGACCAAGCGAGAGGACAAGTCCTAGACGTCCCGACCATGCCGGGATAATACTCTCTACAGTCTTTTTCTCTAGATTTTTGTTTCGATGGGATACTGCCATTTTTTAAAAAACAAAAATGCGAGTGCCCTATGCATATTGCATTACGACTTGCTCTTTTCCATTTAAAAATACTGCATGTCTTGGATATTTGACAGAGTGACTTTCCACGTAGGCAGGGAGGCCTTTCATTTGTAACAAAGTCTTGCAGAAATAGACACAAACAACTGAGCTTGCAAAGAAAAACGTAAACGCAAAGAAAAAAGTCTTTTCTTTCCCTTATCGAAAAAAGTTTGAGGAACCAGGCGGGAGGAGTGGGGAACTAACTTTCAAGATCCCTCCTTACACATTTCCTATCTTCCCAGCTGGGCCACGTAGCAAATCCTTCACCATTTAGATCTTTAGTAGCAACCCCAAGCTTCGGGGCCACTCATGACGTCACCCAACAATACTCCAAGGAGTTTCGCTCTCCATTACTTGACTGGATTCTCCTGGGGGATTTATTCCAGGGGAACAAAGACATATACAAACCTAGCTTGTTATGTGCATTTTATCTCCTAGGACAGTATTCTAAAAGGCAGGTAGTATGGTGGTTAAATGCAGAGGCTTCGAGGTCAGAGGGACCTGGGTTGAGTCCCAGCTTTACCACTCGGCAGCTGGGACATGGCCCATTGTCACGACTATAGGAAGGAGACCTGGGAAGGGCTCTCTGGGCTGCAGCCCAGCTGAGCGCTCATGGCTAAGAAAATCTCACTGGCTGCCCAATGGAGATGGGCCAGGGGTTGCAGGGAAAATCGTCCCAGTGTGAGTAAACCACGCTGTGCTGCCCATGCATGCCCATCTGGGTGCCACCCACATTTAGGTCACATTAAATCAACACGTATTTGAGGCTGCTGATGGCAGCTCCCATTTATTAAGGTTTACTGCGACCCAGGTTCTATGATTTGTGTGCGTATCACATCGTTTAATCATCACAACCAGCCTATGAGATCTTATTTCCATTTTATAACCAAGTAAACAGAGGCACACAGAAGTCAAGTAACCTGCTCACTCAACTAGTAAGTGCACAGTTGAGATCCAAACCCTGGCAGCTGGTCCCCAAAGCCCAAACTCAGAATCATTCCGCTACAACGCAAACGGGGCTTTCCTTGGCCGCGGCTCACTGTGCGCGTCAGACGCAGTTCACCTTAGGGACTGAAAACTTCCAGCTGCGTCTCTGCCCAAGTTAGTGACAGAACCTGTCTTCTAGTAACTGGGCATGTACCTGATACCTCTCTGGATCTTCAGAGGGAGTGGGATCACAGGAAAACACAGGAGTTATGATCACAATGACCTCATTTTGAGTGCCGACCCTACCATGTACCTGTGTGACGTTGAGCAAGTTTCTCAATGTTATTGAGACTCAGTTTCCTTACCTGCAAAACAAAGACAATAACAGCGCCAAGCTCCTTGGGTTGTGGGAGGATAAAAGTACACAATGCATGTAAACCAACTAGCAGTGATGAGCACCCGGGAGAATGAAATAAACCGTGGTTCCTTCTCTTAGGAGCTGTGAACACAGGCTCTTAGGAGTGTTTGCAGGTCATGATGAACAACTGGGGGCCCCTGCTGGCCTTAGTAATGCGAAGGAACTTGAGTCACCTTATCATGGTGGAATACTCATAAAAACAGTTTTTGAGCCAGTTTCTTCATTTCTAAAATGACAATAATGGTATCTGCCTTATAGAGTGGTTGTGAAGCTGAAGTGAGGTAACATATGGAAAATACTTAGAACAGCATCTAGATTTAAGTGCTCAGTAAGGAATGATGACCATCATCATCATCATCACCATCGTCACCATCTAATCATCATCGCTACCATCATGATCATCCTCATCATCATCCCCAGTCTCACCACCATGACCGTCACAGTCATCATCATCCCCATCCTCCTCCTCACCACCATCATAATCATCATTACCATCATCATCCTCACCATCCTCTTCCTCATCCTCATCATCCTCACCATCCTCACCATCACCACCATCATCATCACCATCATCCTTGTGTAGATGGCTCTGTACTAGGAATGAGGTACAGAGTACCTAATACAGAGAACATAAAGAACCCCATGGCTCATCCCTTTCTTTTGGCCTTTTTGGACCTTGCCATAATATTGCTTGTACTGGCACATAAAGTGCCTTTTACGATCAACTTCCTCCCTTACTAAATGGATGAAGGATGGGCCCTACTCACCAACCTTTCTGTTATTACCTTCTATCCTTCTTCTCTGACTTCTTAGAACCAAATAGCTGTAATCACAGAATATAGTCTGTGTTTCCCCAACAGGTGTTCCACAGAGCATTATTCCAAGAGATGTTAGTTGCGGGTAGTGGCAGCAAGAAAGGAGAGACGTGTTTTGGGAATGCCGCCTCCTTTATCCCACCCTATAGATCCGCAGGGATGTTAGCATAGGAGGGATGCTGTGGAGACCTGTTTAATGTTGCTCAAGTCTCCTGACTCTATGAAGTCAGGAGAAAAAGATGGTGGGTCTGAGAAATGCTGCCTGAAATGAGTCTTTCTCAGCCTTTCTGGAATTTCTGGCTGACAGCTTAACTTTATAACCCACATTTCTTGGTGATAACACATGACTAGATTTACAGATAGAGGCTACAATGACAAAAATGGTCTTGAGAGTGGGGAGGGGACAGTGCACACATAGCTTGGCCCCGCTATTACCAGGATAGAGATCATGGTCCGTCTCTGTTTTAGTTCCAGTCTTGAGGAAGAAGTGGAACTGTGGTCACATGTCACCTGATTTCATGTACACTCAGGACTCTGCCATGACTATAACAACAGTAACGCTGGGATTGGGGAGCCACTGGAGTGTCAGAGAAAACCGGCTTCCCCTTCTCTGTGCTACACGTGAGGGGCAGGCACTTAGATAAAAGCTAATCTTGTTTTTGCTTTTGCTTATTTTTTTTGTTTTTAAGAACTTTACACCACCTTCTGGATTACTTTGGAGACATCCTGGCCAGGAATGTTGAATCACCAGAGTTGAAAATCACTCCTCTATTCTCATTCATTGCTGTAAGAATGTCAAATTCATGCAGCCTCTCTGAAGGCGATTTGGCAAGGAGTATCAAAAATCTTTAAAATGTTGGAGTTCCTTAAGGTGTGGCCCTGGGCTCTCTTCCTTCTCGCTCAACACTTTCTTCCTAAGTGATACCATTCATACACATGGCTTTAACCATCCATCCATCCATCCATCCACCCATCCATCCATCCATCCATCCATCCACCCATCCATCCATCCATCCATCCACACACCCATCCATCCATCCATGCACACAGCCATCCATCCATCATCCATTCCACAGACATTTATTAAGCACCCACTATCTGGCACGTGTTCTTCCGGGTTCTGGAGCTACATCACGAATATCTCTTTCCAGACTAGACATCCAGGGGAACAGCTACATACTTGGCACCTCATCTTGGAGGTCTCACAGGCACCTCACATTCATCTTCCCTCTCAAACCTGGTCCTCATGCGGCATTCCTTACTCTGGATTTCAGTGAAGGAACAACATCTGTCCTTTTACACAGGCCAGAAACCTAGAGGGCTGCAGCCCCCTCTCTCTCTGTCACCTCCCTTCCAACCTCATCCAGGTCCACCACTGAGGCCTGTTGATTTACCTCTGAAGTGCCCTGGGGATCTTTCCTCTTTCTCCATCCCCACCCCTGCCCGAGTGCGGGCCACTGTCATCTCTTGCGACAGCCTCCTTCTGGTGACCCTAATGTGCTGGCCACCTTCCAGGGCATTTTCCACTCACTTCAATGCCTGTGAGAGAGGATCGGCTAAATAAACTATGGCACATCCTACACAACGGGGTTCCTTGCCAGCAGTGACAATGATGACGTAGGTCTGTGGGTATTGACACGGAAGGGTATTCTGATGTACCATTAGGAACAAAACCAAAGAAAATTGGTTATAATGTGACACTATGTTTTTGTAAAATTAAAAAAAAATCAATAAACATATAGATAGCGCTTACTCTGTGTCAGGCACTATTCTAAGTGCTTCACATATATCAATCATTTTAACCCTCACAACAACTCTAAGGGGTGGGTACTCTTCATTATTTCCTTTTACAGGTAAGGAAACTGAGGCAGAGAGAAGGTACATAACTTGCCTAGAATCACACAGCTATTTCCATGGGAAAATGCCTTGGGAGCTATACACAGAATCTAACAGGGGGGACAACATCAAACGCTGGCGAGGACGTGGAGCACCAGGAGCTCGCATTGTTGGCGGGAACGCAAAATGGCGCAGCCACTTTGGAAGACAGTTTGGTGGTTTCTCTAAAAACCAAACATACTCTCATCACATGAGCCAGCAGTCGCGCTCCTTGGTCTTTAACCAAAGGAGCTGGAAACTCACGTCCACACAAACCTGCCCGCGGACGTTTACGGCAGCTTGATTCATAATCGCCAAACTTGGAAGCAACCAGGGCGGCCTTCACTAGTGAGGGGATAAACAAACCGCGGTACGTGCAGACAATGGAATATTACTCAGCGCTAAAAAGAAGTGAGCAATCGAGCCAGGAAAAGACACGGAGGAAACTTAAATGCATATTATGAAGCGAAAGAAGCTGATCTGAAAAGTTGTCTGATTTCAACTATACGACATGCTGGAAAAGGCGAAACTATGGAAAGAGTACAAAGATCAGTGGTTCCCCGGGGCTGGGGGTGGGGGGAGGGATGAGTAGGAGGAGCACAGGGCATTTTACGGCAGGGAAAAGACTGTGTGTGATATGCTAATGGTGGACACACGTCATTATACATTTGCCCAAACCCATGGGATGCACAACACCAAGAGTGAACCCTAATGTACACTATGGACTTTGGGTGATTATGACGTGTCAAGTGGGTTCATTGATTGTAACGAATGTACTACCTGGTGTCGATGTTGATAACGAGGAGGCTGTGCATGAGTCGGGGCAAGGGGTACATGGAAATATCTGTTTTTCCCCTTAATTTTGCTGTGAACCTAAAACTGCTCTAAAAAACAGTCTATTAAAAAATACATCACATTCGGTAATTCTGAGAGACAGGATTTAGCATAATCTTGATTTAATTTTCCTTTTGCCTCTGTCACGTTCTCATTTTTCTTCAGTAATCATGTCTCGCTCGTGTGTTTTTTTCAAGGAAAATCACTTCTCAAGTGGAGAAGCAAAGTCAGTCTGGAGAAGGGGAGAGTTGGCCACATACCTAAGAAGCCTCCTCAACAGATGTCCCATCGTGATAAGATTCAACGCGACATTTTAGAGTCATGCAACTACGTGAGAAAAAAGTTCCAGTAACCTTTGTCGGAGCTGGAAAACTGGATCCCCACGTCCCCGAGGAGACTCTCCGTTTCCTCCAGCCAGGACAGCGACAGGCGCAGGATGTCCAGCGCCACCTTCTGGAGCCCTGAAACAGGCGGGCTCACCTGAAGGTGCTCGAGAAGGGCGACCTCCTTCTTCAGGTCCTTGCTGCTGCAGGACATTTTCATGCAAGCCTGGAAAGAGGGGAGACCGTGAGGACCCCAGACCCTGTCGCCAGAAACAGCAGCTGATGTGGCCTGCCAAGAACAATGTTCTCGACTGTGCCACGAAGCGGGCAGTGCCACACGTTCGCCACACTAGGGTGGCACAATTTTATTTGCCTTTCTTTTCAGCTTTTACTTTTTTTGTACTCTAATTTGGACTGTCGATGGTCAAAGAGACCCCACTTTTAGGTATATATGCAATTCCAGTTGTATAGGTATACATGCAAGACCCAGTGCAATTGTCCTTGACAATTTGGCTGAAATGAGAACCAAATTTGGCTCCTTCTAGTCATCAAAATTCCTGCTGAGATCAACACGCGGGCTGATCAGAAAGTGCGGTTTCCTGATTTGAAGGAGTGCTGACAAGCCAGCATTTACACAAACTCCCCAAATAGTAGCTGCTTATTTCCAGAGAAAGCAGAAGCAGCTGTCTGCTCTGATAAGCTGTCTCCCGGTGTGGGGGCCGTGGGGTTCAGACAGACCCCCCGTCCTGTCTCCTCTGGAGTCAAAGGCAACATGGATAAGAACAGCCTTTCCATTGCTGGGCCAAAAAAAAAATGCAAATAAAGAGCAGGAACGTTTCTTTAGTTTCTCTGGAAATAACACGAAGCTTTTTTTTTTTTTTCTCTGTGCTGGGGTCTGGGGCCTCCCAGAGTCAGTACTTGGAGTGTCTTGGGCATCCTTTCCTTGGCCACACCAAGTTCACCTAGCAGGCTTTTTTTTTTTTTTTTGAGGAAGATTAGCCCTGAGCTAACATCTGCTGCCAGTCCTCCTCTTTTTGCTGAAGAAGCTTGGCCCTGAGCTAACATCTATGCCCATCTTCCTCCATTTTATATGCGGGACACCTGCCACAGCCTGGCTTGATAAATGGTGCATTGGTCCACTCCCAGGATCTGAACTGGCAAACTCGGGCCCCGACGTGGAGTGCACGAACCTAACCACTGCGCCACCAGCTGGCCCCTCACCTGAGAGGCATTCTTTGAGGTCCTTTGCTTTCTGTTCTCAAATAAGTCTCTCCAACAAGAGAAAAGGGGGACAGAAGAGCAGAGCATTCCTGCCCAACCTTCTCCACAAAGGCTGGACAGTTGCCCAAACGAGGAGCACAACAATTAGACAAAGGGGACATTGGTGAAAAGCAGAGAAGGGCCACCTGGCAGCCGTCTAAGGACTTCTTCAGCTTCCCCAGGTTCTCGGTGATCTCCTCCTGCTTGCAGTTGCTGAGCTGAGTCTCCTTCTGCAGGCTCCACCTTTTCTGCTGAAAGTTGATGTTGTCCTCAGTGACCTGGGTAATCTTCTCTATTACCTGGTGAGAAAAAGAAAAAAAAGATTTAAAATACAGCCTGGCTCCGGGGGCTGGCCCCGTGGCCGAGTGGTTACGATCGCGCGCTCCGCTGCAGGCGGCCCAGTGTTTTGTCGGTTCGAATCCTGGGCGCGGACATGGCACTGCTCGTCAGACCACGCTGAGGCAGCGTCCCACATGCCACAACTAGAGGAACCCACAACGAAGAATACACAACTATGTACCGGGGGGCTTGGGGGAGAAAAAGGAAAAAATAAAATCTTTAAAAAAAAAAAAAAATACAGCCTGGCTCCAGGAGGAGGGGACCGGGCAGCATCAACTGACGCTCCCATCTCAGCGGATGGAGAGGGAGGTCCTGACACGTTTTGGTGATGACGCGGGAGCAGAACCTGGGCTCTGTCACCAGGACATGTTGCCGAGGATCGGAGATGACTTTTAAGAACCACGGGCCCGTATTATTGCCATGAGTTTGTTCCAGATTCTTCTGCATTCTATGAGTGATTCATAACACTGAGCCTGATGCTGTGGACTCATAAACAGAAGGTCAGTTTCTCCTATAACTGACAAAAGCAGCCCACGGTGTGTCTTCTTACCCACACGTTGACACAGAGGCGTGGAAAGAATAATTGGAAGGGTGACAAGGCCATCATGACAGCCAGAAGTCCATCCTCACTGTCATCTTGCCTCTTCAGAAGGAACAAGCCATAACAAACCGTCTATGGTGGGGCAGCCCCCTTTTCTCACAGGGCAAACGCAGGTTAACGTGCGTGTCTGGCGACCAGAAATAGGCCTGAGTGGTTTAATTTGATTTGCACAGAAACATTTCAAGGGAATTTAACTGGCTTTTACTTTAAAAGGCAGGAAATCCCATAAAATCAAAACAAATCTTTATGGTGCAGCAACAGTGTGAAAAATATGTGCCACCAACCAAAAACAGAAACATATGCTCCCAGTGTCTGGAGTCCCGGGTCCCCAAAGAAGAAAGTGAAAAACCAGACGAACCTGTTGATCGGTGAGGGGTTTGTCCTGGAACGGCTTCGCTCGTCCATAGGTGGCCTTGATGACTTGACTTCTGAAATGCTCCAGCTGCAGCAAAAAGGGACAGCAACTAAGTCAGCGGGCGTAGCTGGAGCAACAAGCCCGGGTGTGGTATTCCCATCGCCGGGGGCCAGGAGAAACCAGTTAGAAGGGTCTGCACACCTTTCGTGGTCATTACGGGTTATTAAAATCTTCACCTCTCACTGGGAGGGTCAGTGCCCACAGACGAGAAGAGAACAGCAGGTTTTAATTACTTTTTAGGCATGCCTGCCTAACCCAACTGATGCACGTGGTCAGCGCACACACGTCTCGAGCCCTCAGAAGAGTCACTTGCTGCCAATTATCCAGTGGGAAGTCTGGGGCCCGGAGCACTCTTCCATAATTGCTAGGTTGGCACCAGACTGTGAAATAAATATTGAGGCTGTCAGCCCAAGTAAATCGTATAATCGGCAAGGGTGCCTGGGGAGAGGAGAATTCACTCCCTTCTGCCATTTTGTGCCTTAGACCAAACCTGTCCCGAAGACTGTGTCTATTGTATTCATCTTCGTATCCCCAGAGCCTGGCCCAGAGTGGACCCTCAATAGGTATTCACTGAACGCTTGTCTACAGAAACGTCAGTCAAAGGCAGGGTCCTCCACTTGAGTGCAAGCAGCCTTTACTGAGTGCCTGCTTGGTGTTTTCAGATTATGGTTGATGGAACTGCACAGTTAAATTAAATCAGGGCTTATAGAATTACACGTTCAAGGTGTCTGGGTTCCGTGAGAAGTGAGAGGCAAAGAAACCCAATTTTCTTGGTGAATTTACCAACATGGTGCCCTTACCCTAGGTTTTTGGTTCACTGGCAAAATGTGGTCACTGAAGACTCTAAAACAGCCCTGAAGGGACCATAAGGGCCACTGAATCAACTTAAAAGTCAATGGGTAAGAAGACACGGGAGTTTACAGCACACCTCGCAGTTCCGGGAAACCAAGCCGTGGAATGAGGACTCTCCTAAGGGCACTGCTGCAGTCAGCCTGCCAGAAGCCCACCAGGGTGCCTCAAGGCACTCCGGGCTGTCCTCTGGTTTCACGGCCAAGGGGAGGCTATGTAGGGAGGGCCCTGTGAGTGACGGTCCCCATTACCCCTCTGTGGGGCTGCTCAGAGGTGGAGGGACAGGTCCTCCTGGACGATGGGCTCAGCCCTGGAGTCACTTGCCTGGGGAAGGGCAGAACCTCAGACAGGGAGCAGAGCCACGGAGATAAGTGGGTGGGGCAGCAAGGCCTGGGTGGTAGAGAGAGGGCTTGTCCTCTTTCTCTTGAGTCTAGACCTGGTGGAGTCTGTGTCTCTGAGGGTCCTCCTGGACGACCTCTGCCCAGAGCTATAATCAGGACCTTGGCACCTGGGCAAGTAGCACAGATCATGTCCCCAAGTCAGGTGTGTGTTCGGGGGGTGTAGGAAAGGTGGGGGGGGGGGCGTAGCCAGGGGCACAAAGGGAGGCCCAGACAGCAAGCTCTCTGCTCTTGCTAGGGGGTTGGCATCCTGAGGAGAGAAGACACTGGGGTCAGGGTGGACATCTGGTGAAGGGGCTTTAACATCTGTCACAGTCAGCATCATTATTTAACTTGTTTGTGCCTCTGACAAAGCCTGGTCACACTCCTGGTTCAGGATGCTACCAACTGGAAGGGCTGGGGGGCTCCTTTAAGGATTGTGATTCTTAACCTTTTTTGGTGGTTCACAGACCTTTCTAAGAATCCAGTGAATGAATGGTGGACCCTCCCTCCCAGAAAAAAAAAAAAGCACAGACACACAAAATACTCTTGGGTCCCCGGGGGCCATGGTTGCCAGGAGAGGGCCCCTTGAGAAGGAGCCCAGGGCAGGCTGCCCTTGGTGGGCGCCTATCTTGGTTTCTTATTTGCTCTCCCTTGGCCTTTGCTAAAGTCTCGTTTGCATGTTTTGGCCCTCAGTCTGTGCCGCGTGTGAGAGGAAGGGCTGCCGGGCCATCTCGGGCCACAGCATTAGAGAAATGGCGCCCCAGACCAGCCAGGTCAGAGCCTGCACACCACCCTGCCCAGCCACTCCATGTAGCATGAGCTTTGACAGTCTGGGGTTTCACTTGATTAAGAAAAGTGGCATTTCCTTACAGACACTGACGACGACATCTGCTGGGGGCCCAGAGGAAGAAAGATCAGAGGAAGGAAGATCGTGGTAAATGTCAGGACTGAAAATGTTAGTGAGAAAGTATGAGAAACACCATTGGGGTCAAGAGGCTCAAACCCTTCGCAAGAGGGAATGGCATGGCCGGCATGGACACTGAGCCAGGAGGGGCTGCCTGGTCAGGGTCTCGGCAACGGCTAACTACTAGAGTGGGCAGATTCCCAGCAGGAGAAGCCTCTTCAGTGATGTCCACTGGGATGCAGAAGCCACTGAAAGCTTCTGCCCATGAGAGAAACAGGAGAATGAAACCACGGCTGTCTTCCTCCTCACTCGTCCCCACCAGCCACCTGGGGGCAGAAAATCCATGGGGAACATGGACCAATGACGGGGGCTCTGGAGCACGCCTACCTGACCTACTGCCCTTTCCAAATTGACTTTAATGAGGTTCTCTCTGTTCCCCATTTCTTGCAGCTGAAGCAATTTCCTTCTGGAATCCTCCTGAAGCTTCTCTTCAACCTGAAAGGATGATGAAAGCATGCGCTTGCTGCTAATGTGATCATAATGCACTCTGGGGAAATTCCTCTAGGTGGTCTAATGGCCGTGGGAAGTCCCAGAGGGGCAGGGACAGCTGTGGCGCATGTGGCAGGGGTCACAGGCATCCATGGGGTGGAGGCAGGCTCACAAGGAGCCATCCCATAGGGGAAGGGCCCAGCTCTGCATCCTGGGCTCCACCACGATCATCCCACCACAGACGCCCATCCCAGTTTAGTCCCTAACAAGCTGCACGACCCTGCTCTGTGACCCTGCTCACATTTCACTGCTCTGTGACTCGGTGTCCTCGTCTGTCAAATGGGGGTGATGATACTAGTACCGGCTCATAGAGGTATTGTGGGGACTCAAAATGTGTGGAACAGTGCCAGTACTTCTTAAGGGCTCTCTGAGTGTGTCGGGCATTGCTGTAGCCTATGACAGTGGACAGGGATGTCTGCCACGCGGCATCGTTCTTATGCCATGTTGAGTACTTGGTAAACGTTACTACTGGGTTTATTGTCATAACTATTTGTCATTACCACTTTTAGCACACTCACCAGTGGAAACCACTCTGAGAGGCTTGCTAAGCGCAGCCTGCAAAGGAAGGCGTTTAAAGCGGGGAAGTGCTCATTTCTTCCCCAAGCCGGGGGCGAGCTCGGGAGAGCTCGATGCTACCCCCTGCTGGCCCTTGCAGGACCCTGCCGCTGCCCAATGCATCTTCAAACATAAACATCTCGAAAGCCCTTGCTGAGGCCGGGGCTCTGACACTGCAGGAAAGGAGGCAAACTCTCTGAAATCAATGAAAATATTTTGTGCTGAAACAGCTTCACAGGCTATTTATTAGGGGGCTGAAGAGAGGTCACACAGATGTCATAAAAGACCCAGAAAAGCCCTTTGGAGCTTTCTCGTGAGTGCAGCGGAAGCGTGTCTAACCAGCTCCGTTACCTTGGAAAGCCGTCTAACCTCTCTGGCCTTAGTTTCCTCCCTGTACCATCCTCCCAGGGCTACGCAGGCTCCGACTTCTACTTCAGCAGACTTTTTCTTACGCGCAAAAGCAAAGTCCCGCCCTGGACTCTGCCCTTCTGTACATTCCCCATCTCAGTGAACGGCCCCTCAAGCCTCAGAGTCCCCACAGCTGCTGCCCTGCTCCATCTCTTCACCCGGGTCCCCCAAGCCTGTCGCCCGATCCCCTCACATCCACTCCACTTCTCTGCTCCTACCCTGGGCAAGGCCCCGGCCAGGCACAGAGAACCTCGACCCTGTGATAAGGGACCTTCTTGCCTCTTGTTACGTCCTTCCAGTGAAGTCTTCACGGGCCTGTGACAGTCACCAAGCTGTGGAGCAGCTCTGTCTGACAGAACTCTGCAAGGACGGAAGCGCTCGGTGTCCATGCCATCTAATACGGCAGCCAGTAGCCACGTCTGGCTATTGAGCACTTGAAAAGTGGCTGGTGTGACTAAGGAATTCAACTTTAAATTTTATCTAATTTTGATTAATTTCAGCACAGTCACATGTAGCTAGTGACTATGCCACAGTAATTGGGGCCAGACAACCCTGGCTTCCAGCCTTGGCTTTGCCACTCACCGACCCTGTGGCTTTGGGCTAGTTACTTTACTAGTAACTAGGAGCCTCGATTATTCTCTCATCTGTAAAATAGAGAGGATAATTTCTAGGCCATAGAGCTGTCGTGAAGATAAAAAGAGACTGAATGTTTGGCATAATGCCTCATATGTGAGAAATGATAGCTATCATTTTCCCCATTATTATTCATCACAAAAATAACCATATCTGTCCTCTGTTCAAAAGCTTTCAGTAGCTCCCCACTGCCTATGTGGTGCACAGCCCAAGTCCGGAACTAAGGCCAAACACCAAGCCAGAGATTCAAGAAGCCCCAGGAGCTCAAAACAAGGCAAATAAAAACGAATCCACAGGGGCCGGCCCAGGAGCATAGTGGTTAAGTTCATGTGCTCCACTTCAGTGGCCCAGGGTTGGCAGGTTTGAATCCCGGGCATGGACCTACACACTGCTCATCAACCCATGCTGTGGCAGCATCCTGCATACAAAAAATAAAAATAAACAAAGGACTCCATATTCAGATAAACCATAATAAAACTGCTGGAAAATAAGGGAAAAGAAAATCTTAGACTCAGCCAGAGAAAAAAAGAGGGATTACACAAAGCTACCATAATTAGGCTTATAAATGACTTCTAAATAGAAACAACGGGAGCCAAAAGACAATAGAACAATGTACCTAACACTATAATTGCCAATGTAGAATTCAATACTCAGTCAAAATGTATTTTAAGAATGAAAAGTTTATTTATCTCAATTTCAAAAAAAGAAAGTTAAATATACATTTTCAGACAGACACACACACATCTGAGAGAATTTGTCATCACAGAGCCGCATTGAAGGAAAACACTAAAGGGTGTTCTTCAGACAGAAGAAAAAATGATCCCAGATGGATGATCAGAGATGCAGAGAAGACACGCAACAGAAAGAGTAGCATGTGGATATGAATGCACACAAAAAATAATAATGTCTTATAGAGAGTAGTTTGGAAAACGACAACAATGGCGCATAAATCTGGAGGGGGAAAGTGAAGTTAACATGGCCTAAAGTCACTGCATTGTCAAGAAGGGCATCATTGTTAACTAACATTGGATCTTGGTAAGTCAAGAATGCATATTATAGTCTTCAGGATGCCTACTGAAAGAAGAGTAAAAGAGTGAAGTATTTCCAAGCGATAGAGAGAAGAAAATGGAATGATATCATCAACTCAAAAGAAGGCAAGAAAGGAGAAAAAAAGGAATGTAGCACAGACGGTACAACTGGCGCTGAGCAAGAAGATAAATTTAAACCTCAATATACACTAATTACATTAAATATAAATGGACTAAAAGATGAAGATTGTCAGACTAGATTTTATAAAAATGATATGCTATTTAGAAGAGATACATCTCAAACTTAAAACAGAGATTGACAGAAGAAGTATAAAAAAAGATATTCTATGAAAACTCTAACCAACAGAAAGCCAGTGTAGCTGATGGAGTCATATTAATGACAAAGTAGACTTTAACGGAAATACACTATTAGAGATGAAGAGGGACATTTTATGACGATCAGGGTTCTTTTTCAACAGGTATTATTAACACTCTAAATTTATATGCACCTAGTAACAGCCTAAAAAATATATAAAGCAAAAATTGGCAATCCTAAACAAGAAATACACAAATCCACAATTATGATGAGATGTTTTAAAAACATACCTCTCTCGGTGACTGATAGAACACAAAAAATCGGTAAGAGCATTTAAGTTTGAACAACATCATTGGCAAACTTGATTTGATGGGTCAATTCTTTTCTGGATAATTTTACAATTAAGACTTGAAGGGAGTCTAGGGTCGTGGTTTCACACGGGAGCTTTGGAGTCAGACAGACGTGGATTCAGGTTCTGCTGCAACTACTGCGTCTGAGCGAACTGGGGTAAATACCATGTCTGAGTGAACGAGGGTAACTTCCTTCACGTCTGTGAGCCTCAGTCTTCCCAACTATACAGTGGGGTTAATACCAGTCTCGACCACGCAGTGTCATTGTGAGGATTAATGGGGATGATGTGTGTGGAACACCTGGCCCAACGCTGTCCTTGCCCTACCTTGCTCTTTTCTCGAAGTGTCTTAGAGATCATGCTCTGCTCAGTAAAGCTCTTCTTCAGCTCCTCCCTGAGCTTCTTCATTTCTTGCTCCATCTCTTGGATTTGCTGAAAGAGTTTCAACAACCGGCAAGTCAACTTTCTGACGGCAAGCAGGCGCTGCCTTCTGCACTGAAAGGCCTGAACCTCCAGAACTCATTTCCTCGGGTTCATTAAGGCTAAAACCTAGTCTAGTATTAGCTTAATGCCTTCCCTTGGGGGAAAATTCTATATCTTTTGGGCAGAGTAGACTTTTTTTTCCAACTGATATACTGAAAGTGCTGAGTGAAGGAAAATGATTAACTCCTTTTGAAAATCAGCATGGATCCTGGATTAAACAATAGAAGATATCCATCAGCTCATTAGAATCTTTTCTCTTGGGGTATATTTTTGAGATCAATCTAAAGAAGGGCTGTTTGGAAGACACAATGGGCGCAGTTTGGGAGAACAGAGCAATGAAATCTTTCTTTGTTCCCATTTGAGGCAGAGAATACAAATGCTCCTGACATGGAGGGGGGCACACCTCCTCCTCGTGTCTAAGGTGCTGTGCCTCTCAGGGAAGGGAAGATGCACGTCTGGAGATGTGCGAGAGGATTCAGTCGGCATAGGGGATGAATATTTCCATTTTAATGGTCATATTTTCATTGTATTTATTTTTACAGTCACTTCCTATATAAGGCAAATGATGCCTTTCTTTTTTGTTTTATTTTTATGAGTTGGTGTAAAATTGATGTATTTAAACAAAAATACTTAAGGAAGTAGTGCCTGTGGCTATGATAAAACTGTGACAGTGGAACTTAAAAGTTTGGGCATCACAGTTCCAGAGGCAGGGGACCAGAATGAATTCCCAGCAGTATGTGGTAGCCACCTCTGTCCCTGTCCCCATTCCAACCCCAGCCCAGCCCCAGGGGAAATCCAGTGAGGGGGCGACAGCCAATTGCCCAGAGAATCCTGGGAGAGTGTTTTCCTTAGTCTTTTCACTCATCTCTTCCTTGAGGCTAGAGGCAGAAAATCGAAGAATCATGAGATGACATGAACAAACCAATGGACAGAGCCCACGCCATCTAAAGGCCTAGGACCCCACCACAAACCTGAAGGCTGAAGTCTAGATTTTCTGGGGACACCTAGGAATAAGGCGGGTCAACTCACAGTTTTGCAGAGTTTTAACTCTTTCTCTTGGGCATCCCGGTGCTCCTTCTGGGCATCTTCCTTTTTTAACTCTTCTTTCAGCACTGAGCACTGTGGAGAAAAAGGACCACAAGGCCACGTGGGGTTGTCTGGGGGTTCCAAGTCCTCACGTTTGCTCTTATGAGTGTTTCCTGCTGTTTAATTATTCTCACACCCAAATTCCAAGAGGCAAGACCACTGGTGCCTGATGGAGGCATGAGATCCCGCACGAGTTATCCTAGTTTCACCCCCTCACGAGTTCTGAGGAATACGTCGTCTAAATTCTTCTTCAAAAGCCAGCAGTCTACACCAATGCAGGAAAAGCCCAGCGCTGTGAGTGAGGGTCCTTAGGGTGGAGGAACTGGGGCGATTCCCAGATTCCTGAGAGCGACTCTGGGAATATATGGGGGCTCGCTGGTGAACTGGGACAGCTCCTATCCCTTATGCGGGTTACATCTCAAAGACACAACTGCCATGGCCGTGGAGGTCGAACAGGACAGTCTTTCTGGAGGGCAATTCGGCAACCGGCATGAAGAGGACCAAGAGGTGACTTCTTTCGACCCGGAAACTCCTGCTTTAGTCTTGTACCCTAAGGACAACGACTGCAGCAATCAGCAAATCTATAGTTTCAAGGATGTTCTTCACAGTAATGTTAGCAACAGTGGGAAAAAAAGAAACAACCCAGTGTCCAACAACTGGGGACTGCTTTATTACGTGGTGTACATGTAGGAGAATATTATGCAGCTCTTAAGACCCATGATAAGGGCTTTTATTTATTAACATAGGAAAACAGTAAGTATTTAAAAATTTAAAAAATGTGTATAGTATAAATTCACTGTAAGGTATATATAATTTATTTATTTCTAGGTAATATATAGAAACAAGACTGGAAGAATATACATAAAAATATTAACACTGATTTCTTGGGATAGCATTTCCTTTCTTCTCTTTTTAATTTTGCTTTTGAATATCATCTACTTATTTTTCTAAAATTAACACACATGACAAACGTAATTTAAAAAATAGATAGTCATCCCGAATGTTCATGAGAGCAATGCCCTTGGTGATGAGGAGCCCATGTGCTAAGGGCCAGCACGGGCTCGAGAAGAGGAAGGCACGCCATTCCAAGGTCAGCGAGGAAGGGGAAACGGGAGGAAAATGACCCACATGCACTCCAGGAGGCAGAAAACCAAATGGGCGCTGTTCTTCCACTTAGCATCAGCTCCACCCTCCTTCCCAACACACACACACATGCATGCACACACATGCACACACACACACGTGCACCCCACACAAAACAGCGATCACACGTGCCTAAGAAGTCCGTTGGCTCAGGAGAAGCGAATGCAGAGGGCTTGGCCAGGCGGCTGACCCGCTGCAGAGGCAGAAGACCACAACTGAAATCAGCCTCCTACTTCTCAGAAAATGAGTTTGTTATCCCCATTTCACAGATGGGACAACGGGGGCCAAACAAGTTACAATAAAAGAAAGCTCTGGGATTGGACCCTGGTCTGTCTGACCCCAAAGCTCACGCTCTGCCTTTTCAGGCCCAAACTGGGCATGGCACTAAGCCCCAGCTATTCCCCCGCTGCCTGTCCTTTGGAACCTCAGAGTCCACTGCAGCCCCCACCCCGCTGCGGACAGAGCTGACCCATCAGGCAGCCACATGAATCTCTGAGTCGCCGCCTGAGATGAAAGTCATTAGGTTTTACCCCAACTCATCAAAACAGACAAATCACACAAATACTGAGAACTCTTATCCTGTAGGATCAGGATTCTAAAGTCAGGATTGAAGGCAAAATTTGCAAATAGTCAAAGTTACATTTAAAATGCTCTGAACTTGCCTACCAGCTGCATTTTCCACAGAGGAATTCTTATACACTAAGAGCCAAGGGAAGAAATGGAAGTCTGCAGGTCTGCATCTGGACCTTCAAATATTCCACTTTGAAGGCAGCTATGAAAACCAGTGGTGGCTGGGACTGTGATGAAGCCCAGTGTAGTCATCTTTGCCCCAGAGAGATCCTAGCCTGTTTTAATACTAAGCCTTGCAATGACAATCCATGCTAACAGATGTGTTTGTTGCTGAGATTAAACACACTAATTTATAGCAGGAGTTAAAAAATGTTGGCTGGATTTGAATATACATCTTGCTTATTTTGAGTCACGTACGTGTTGTTCTTTGAAAAGCTGCAAAGAACCTGGTCTCCTGCTTTTGGTCTTCCCAGGGGGGCGTTTCGTGTTTCGGCCCACCCAGCAGCGGTCCCCTTATGCCCTTGGGCACTGGCCTCATCTCCCCATGGTGTGAGGAGGGAGTGACATTAAAGCTAGGGCCCAGGTCAATGAGATGAGCACGTTCTACCGACAGCTACGCTCTGATGATGACCCAACACTCACTCTGGAGCTGAGGGCTTCAAGCTGGTAATTCTTTTCTTTGTTCTCACTCTTTAGTTGATTCACCTCCTGTTTTAGTTGTTGAACTTGCTCATCCTTTGCTAACACGTCCTTTTGCAAAGATGACACCATCCCTGTAGGAAAAGAAGACTCACAGAGGTCAAAGAAGGAGTTGGATTACTGTCACATCCACCGCTGCCAGCCAGCTTGTGGACGAGCCCCCTCTAAGCCCAGGCCACTCGGGTCCTCGCCGGGCACTGAGGAGGCTGACCCCAAGGATCCCAGAGCTAGAATAGGGATGTGGCCACAATCCGCTGAACATCGTTTCTTTAAGGCTCCAGTGAGGATGAGCAGGTGTCAAGGAGCATTGCCGAGAGAGGAGAAGCCTTTGGAGCCCCTTCGGGCACAGGGCCGGCAGACCTAGGAGCAGAGGCCACGCCCTGGGCCTGGGGAGCAAAGGCCCGGCATAGGGAAGTGATGTGGGGTCGGTGAGCCGAGGAGTCGAAAGAAAGATTTCTTAGACTCTCAAGATCTGGCAGTAGCGCTCTTTTATTTAGAGAATAGTGTGGAATAGCATGGGGACAGGACCCATGGGCAGGCAGAGCTCCTGCTGCTGCCCCCGCTGGCATGGGGACACGACCCATGGGCAGGCAGAGCTCCTGCTGCTGCCCCCGCTGGCATGGGGACACGACCCATGGGCAGGCAGAGCTCCTGCTGCTGCCCCGAGTTGAGGGTTAGGGCTAATTTTATAAGGCATGGGTACGTGACTTATTTTTACTGGAGAATAGAAAAGATGATGTAAAAAGTCATTAAATGATTTCAGTGCAGATGGGGTCTGGTTATTGTGCGGTCATATAACTTTAGATACGAATCTGGCCATATAGATCGGCATGTAGGTGAGGATGCCCTGGGCTTCTCTCCCTGGGGCGGTCCTAATTCATACCATAAAAAAAGTCCACTGGGTCGTATAGTTTGGCATGTAGGCCAGGTCACCTTGGGCTTCTCTAGCTGGGGCAGCCTTAATCCACATCAGGAAGGACCAGGAGCTCTCCTCCAGCGGCCAAGAGATGGGCTCGAGGCAGAGGAGACTACTGATTGGATGCTGGATTCACACTTGTCTGAGTTTGGACCCCGTCTCCACCACTTATTAGCTTGGAGGTTGTGGACAAGTTATCTTACCTCCCACTTTATCCACCCATAGAGGTGCTGTCAGGGTTAAATGAGATGATGCATGTAAAGAGCACAGCAGAGTGGCTAACTTACGGTGTTTGTTATATGGCACCTATTCTTTTTTGTGGTAGTCAGCTTCCAGAACAGCCCCGGTGCTCCCTGTCTCCTGGAATTCACACCCTGTGTAGCCCCTCCCACCCTAACTAGGGCTGATGTATGTAACCAACAGGATATTGTGGAAAGGATGGAATGTAACCTCCCACTGAGTCATAAAAGACACTGCGGCTTCCTCTTGGATCGCTCGTTGGGGGAAGCCAACCACCATGTTGTGAGGACACTCAAGACACCCCTAGGAGAGGCCCACGTGGTGAGGAACTGAGGCCTCCAGCCAACAGCCAAATGAGTGAGCCTTTCTGGAAGGGGGTCCTTTGGCTCCCATTGAGGCTTTAGACGACACAGCTGCTGCCCCAGTTGACATCTTGGCTGCAACTCATGAAAGACCCTGAGCCAGAATTAAGTCGCTCCCAAATTCCACTCCAGCAACTGGGTGAGATAATAAATATTGGTTGGTGTTTTATCCACTAAACTTTGGGATAACTTTTAATGCAGTGATAGATAACTAATACCTATTGTCTTATCATATTGAGGAAAAGTGGGAAGGCAGGGGCCTAGTGCAGGGGTACTGGGTCATCTCAAACGGTTCTTTTCTTGGAGGAACATGAGGGCCCAGTTTTATTGGTACGTATCAATCAAGAAGGTATGTGAAATAAAGAGCAATATGATCCAGAATTTCATTTTGAACATGAGTATGGCCCAGGACACAGCTCAGTTACTTGGACATGGGTTGACCCCTCTGGGGCTTGCCTTCAAGCTTTGTTTGGTGGGACCAGAACAATCTTTACTCGAGAATTAATTTGGCCGCGTGGCTGAGGCAAGACCTTTTTGAGTCTCTACCAGATTACGAGGCTTCTCCATCCTGGATGGTGGGAACATGAACTGTTCTTGGCTCTTGTGTGAGCTTCTGGATTGTTCCCTCTGCTCCTGTCGGGGTTCTTTCCCTGCCCACATACACGTGCTGATCAGTACTCAGCTGAAGACTAGATCTGGGGCGCTCTCTGTGCAGTGCAGCCCGCTCCCCCCATTTACTCTGCCCAGCAAACTCTCTTGTGTTGGCCCCTCCAACTCCATCCCCTTAATTGGGGGGCACGCTGGGCTCTGCCTGGTCCCCTCCCTGTGCTGGCCTGCAGCCTCTCTCCAGGCAGTAAGCACGGGCCATTGTAGGGCTCATCTTGTTTGATTCCCTCTCTCCTGGATCACTGTCATGTGCTGCTTGGGGCCCAATATATGAAAACCATTGTTTCAGGTGTTTTTTCTCTTTTTCATTTTTCACTGTTTCTGGCAGGAGAGTAAACCCAGTCCCTTTTACTCCCTCTGCCCTGTTTGTTTTCCCTGCCTTTCTCATCTTGGAAGCAGGTGTTGTGATGGCCTCGGATAGCCTGGTCCCTGAGTGGTGACAACGAGCACAGCCTCTGCTGATGCATGATAGACACGAGGTGGAGGCAGGAGATGAGCCTGCTTACTGTGAACCACTGAGGCCTGGGGGCTATTTGTTACTGCAGCATAACCCAGCGGTGTTTCTCCAACTTGATTTGCATACAGAACAACTGGGATCTTGATAAAGTGCAGATGCTGACTCAGGAGGTCTGGGCTGGGGCCTGAGACTCTGCATGTCTCACAAGGACCCACAGAATGTGGATGCTGCTGGTCGAGGACCACACTTTCCAGCCCATCCCAAGTGTTACTCCAGCCCAGGTCTGTCTGACTCCCTGAGTGGAGGAAGAGGTATTGAGACAGGGTAGAAGCTTGGATGAGATTTGATGGGCAGACACAGAGGAGGAAGGCAAGGGCCCAGCGAGTTCATCCTTATGTTCCTGGTACCCAGAGCAGTGCCTGGCCCATGGGAGATGCTCAGCAAATAGCTGAGGACACTCCCAGTTAGAGAGAAGCATAAGCAGAGGCCTGGGTTGGCGAGGAATGGGGGGGGTGTAAAGAGTGAGGCAGAGGAAAAGCCAGTGGTCAGGCTGGCCCAGGGCACAGCAGGTGGACTTATATAGAGACAGTGATTCACATGTGGCTACACGTGACACTCAGCTTTTACAGCTGTGGACAGGTTTCCTATAATGTAGCGAGTACTTTAAGAGCAGTGTGCCCAACCCAGACTCGCCTCCTGCTCCCCATTGCCTGCTTCTCTCCATCCTCTCTTTCTTGTTAGTGCCCCATCCTCTCCAGGTCTCTAAACACGTCATTTCCTGCTTTAAAAAACCCCAATGGCTTCCCACCACCCTGAGAATAAAACCCAGACCTCTCCCTGTGATCTAGCACTGGCGTCCCCCTCTGACCATGCCCAGCCCCACAGGCCCCTGTTCGCTCCAGCCCTCTGGCCTTCAGCTCCTTCCTCACAGCCAGCTTGCTCCAGCCTCAGGGCCTTTGCACCTGCACCCTCTCTGCCTGGAACACCGTTCCCTCCGGCCTCCTTGCTTGCTCTTCCTTCACCTCGTCAGAGACCTCTTCCACCCACCCACCACGCTATTCTCCCTCCGCCCCACCCCCTGCGGCATTCTGCCACCTCACTGCCCAGACTGCTCTCTGAAATGGGCTTGTTTATTCAACTGTCCACTTGTCACTGTCTGTCACCCGCTTGCAGATGTCAGCCCTGTGAGTGTAGGGATCTGTTTTGCTCGGGGCTCTCCCCCCAGCACCCAGAACAGGGCCTGGCACCGGCAGGTGCTCCAAAACAGCCTGAATGAATGAGGGAATCCAGGCCAATGGCAGCAGTGCCCTGGACCATGTGCTGGCTGCCCCTTGCCGCCCAGGTCCTTCAGTGTGCAATGACCTCTGTTGGTCAGTTAGAAAATGTTTTCACTCGGGCCCAAGTGCACCAGGGTGACAGAGGTCAGATGACAGATGGTGCCCCCATTTTGTCCACATTCCAGTTGGCACTCATGCAAGCTGGCTTCTGGAACCGCCCAAGCCACACAGCGTCCTGTGCTCTCCCTGGTGAGGCTGGTGCTCAGCAGCCCTTCTAGCTAAGAGAGAAGTCACTCAAGAAGCGATCAGGCCCTGCCCCGGGAAGTGGATGGCAATAAACTCTTGAGGGCAAACTCTCATTCACTGACACTGGCTGCCCACAGGCTGCTGAGAAGATCCCCGAGGCTGCAGCCAGCTCAGGGAGCAAGGGGGCAGTGGTTGATTGGTGATGGCTGCTGTGGTGCTGGAAGGAGGGGGAGGGCGGTGGCTCTCAGGCCCAAGTCCAGAAGGAGCTCACCTGACGAGATGGCGTTGTCTCTCCTTAAGTTCTCACCCTCGCTCTTCAGGGTCGTGATTTCTGAGTTCCTCTCGGACAGGCTCTGGCACAGCACCTGGCTGTAGCCTTTCTGCAGAGCACTGATCTGGGGGTGGAGGCAACACACAGTCAGAGGGGGGCCGGCCCAGGTCTGCAAGACACACTGGTACTTCTCGAAGGTTGGACCAACAGAGTCAGATGACCTTGGGTTGGGGTGTTGGGGACAAGCTTTCTCGATTTGACTAGTGGAAGGGCCAGGAGAGAGCCTGCCACTCAGTGACTGCCATTTCACAGGGAATCAAAGCTCCAACCTTATCTTTGTGTCCGCACAGGGCCTCAGGCGCAGCTGCCCCGGGGCTGTCTGGTGCCTTAATGTGCCTTCCTAGGACTTTTGGACTTTCAGCCATAAATAGACCAGCTCTTGGTTCCACATCATCCAGCACTGGCTGGACGCAGAGCAAAGTTCAAAGTTATAAAATTAACTCCCTCTAAGCAACAGCTTACATCTCATGGAACACTCGAGAGCTCACAGAGCCAGTTCAGTGGCTGCTTCTTCAACAGCTCCTCACAGCACAGTGAAGGCTGATGGTCTGATCAATGTTCCCATTCTGTAAGCGAGCAAACTGAGGCTCAGAAAGGCGAGGTCACTTGCTCAGGGACACGTGGCCAGTTAGGGGTCTTTAGGTGTCTGGTTCCAGTTCTTTCCGCCTCACCAGATGGCTCCAGGAACCAGCATTAGAAGCTGGAGGCTGGGAGGCGTGGCATGGAGCCGGGAGCCGGACTGAGGCGCTTCCCGGCTGTGTGAACATGGGGAGGACACCACGTGCTGTTTCATTTTTTTCATTCTGTAAACGAGGTGACGGTGGTCCAGTCAGCAGGACTGTGAAAGCGTTTGAATACGTTAGGGTATGCACAGGCACTCGGATCGTGCCCGGCACACGGTGTACAAGGCTCGCTGTGACTGTCCTGCACCTGTCTGCCCACAGCCGTTCTAGCTTCAGCTTGTCTCTGGGACGGCCGATTGGCAATATTTTTGTGTACATTTGTAAGCCTTGTCTGGGCTCAGTAAACACCGGTGCAGCTGTTATTAAGAGGACATCCAGGAATCCCTGTTAACCGCCACAGCACGTTGTAGGCATGGCATAAAAACGACTTGGGGGGGGCGTGCTCTGGTCATGTGAGTGAGGGCGCAGGGGGCCTCGCCGCCAGATGGCGCTCATGGTCTTTGCGCTTGGCGTCTGTCCCCCACAAATCTGGCATTATTACTCTGGTAGAATGACAGAAGCATCAAGGTTTCACAAGTTTTCTGACTCATTTCATGCACCATCATGGTTCAGACTCTATGACATTTGGGGTGGTTACACTTTCTTCTTCCCTGGGGCATCTGAGACCTTGGGGAGGGTGTATATGCCAGAAGGTGGGGGGACACGGGTCACTCTGTCCCCCACCTTCCTCAAGGCTATCCTTTCTGCATGTTTGTGCTTTGGAAACCTTGAGTGAAAAAAATTCTTTCACTCTTCTCTGTGAGGGAACTGCAATTTTCCCATAAAAGCTACTTGGAATAATTTTTAAAAAATGTTTCTAGCTCTTCTCAGCTTAATACTTTTATTTGCATGATACCAGAGGCACAACACAAAGAGACAAACTTCCAGAAGGGATGGGAAAATATACGCTCCTGCCCCTCAGACTCCAGTGCTTCTGACGGATATAAAATATTTCAATCCAAGCATTAGAGTTGTACAATTTCGGATTGTGGGGAAACTCCAAATAGTCGTCAAACCTCTTCATTTCTTTCACTACCAAAACAAATATCCATATTGTCTACAATTGGTACAAAGCCCAGGAAGTTTACTGTCTGTTGTACTGCGTCATAAAATGGGCACGGAATCATAAGAGAGTTAACCGCACAGAGGAGCGATGGCTTCCAGATAATAATGCGGCCGCTCGTTCCGACAGATGCACAAGCCGCTTGTTCCGACAGATGCACAAGCGTGCACGGAGCGAAGCATTTCCTAGAGATACTGTATCGGATCAAAGACCCTTGAGAGCAAATCATGATGCACACACTTTCAGGGGGACCGGGAGATCATACAAAGTAATCAACCTGCCACATGGCTTACACTTCTGGCTGAATGTTCTGCAGGCGATAGAATATTTAAGAAACTAAAATGTGAGCAGATGAAACTCGATTGGGGTTCAAACCAACTGCAGCCTTTGGTTCAGCTATGCCTTGTTAGAAAATATTCTCTTTCAGTTATGAGTGAAGATCAAAAGTGGGAGGAGGCAACAGGATGACGAATCAGTGGAATTATTTCTAGATAATTTCTTTGTAAAAAAAAAAAAACATGTTTCCAGGGGCCGGCCCGGTGGTGCAGCAGTTAAGTGCGCATGTTCGGCTTCGGCGGCCCGCCCGGTATTCACCAGTTCGGATCCCGGGTGTGGACATGGCACCGCTTGGCATGCCATGCTGTGGTAGGCGTCCCATGTATAAAGTAGAGGACGATGGGCACAGATGTGAGCTCAGGGCCAGTCTTCCTCAGCAAAAAAAGAGGAGGATTGGCAGATGTTAGCTCAGGGCTAATCTTCCTTAAAAAAACCAAAACATGTTTCCAGGTATCACTAGCCACTTTAAACAACACTCAAACTGTGACCTGCTGACACTCAGAGATATATGAGAATCATATAATATTATATGTCAAATACATTTCAACTAAAAAAAAAAAGACATGTGGGAATTATTCATCCTCGTCCACGTACCCAGATAAGACAGGTCACTTTTGCTCAGGAAAGCTCTGAAATGGGAGAATAACTGGAAGGGATATTTCTCCATCCAATGGCAAAATCGGGTTCAGAACAAGAAAAAGATGTTCGTCAATGAGTCAGCTGCACGTTAAGGTGGCTTTTTGCAGTAGTGTTTCCTGTAGGACCTGCTACTTTCATGGTTTTTTCAAAAACAGATCTGAGGCACAGTCATCTGTTCGTTTAAATATAAGAGCATATATTTGTTTACTTGTTTATTCTGTTTCCCTCATTGGAACGTAACCAGGGGAAGGATCATGTCTGCCTTGTTGTCTGCTGAATTCCCAGAGCTTGGAAGAGGGGGTGGCACAAGGCAGGCACCCCACAGGTATTTATCTGAATGAACGAACAAACAGATGGGTGGATGAATGGATGGATGGATAAATGAATGGAGGGAGGGATGAATGGATGGATGGATGGATGGATGGATGAATGAATGGATGGATGAATGAATGGATGGATGGATGGATGAATGAATGAACAAACAGACACGGTCCTATCAGAGTTCTGGAAGGTAACTTGGCTCAGTCTTTGCCCTTACGGAGCTCACAGTCTCCTTGTAGAATCTTCTAGGTTCATCACGCACAATCTATGTCCTTTTCTAGGCCACCGTTTCTAGGGCTGAGACTGTGCACCTTGAATTGGTTACAGAAGGAGAGGCAGGGAATGGGGAACCAGCGCACCGAGGCCTCGAGCACGACTACAGTTTTAAGCAGCATTATGCACTGAGGCCAAAATTCATCAGTGGCCAATTTCTTTTTTTATCAACTTTATTGAGATATAATTTAGGTATAAGATCAATGGGCAATTTTAAATTCATTCTTTAAAAAAACTGGATCTAGTTTCAAAAGAAAGGAACATGACTGGTAATCGAGAAATTATGGGTGGAGAATCTTTGTTGGATGAAATTCCTCATAAGCAGGCCCGCGGCTGCCTTCAGGGTTCAGTGAAGGCCTCAGTGTTCAGAACACTGGGGGTTCCTTCTCCCCTCTCTAGTGGGCTGTCCACAGCTCCTTCTGGCTGGGGCTGGGTGCAGGAGGTCACCGAAGTGGCAGAGTTGGGTGGAAATGTGAAGTGGGGTGAGAGCTCGCGGTGTGCAGGGAGGCAGACCTGAGTCCAAATTGCACGGCCACCTCTGACTTGCTGTGCAAGCTATCACTAGTCCCCAGGTGTCTCTGAGCCTGCCTCAGTCACTTCATCGGTAGAATGGGGCGTGTCAGAGGATTGTGAGGTTCAGACAGGCTGATGCATCTAAAGTGCATGCCCCAGTGCCTGCACCTGGTCCGCGCTTAATGAAAGTCGCTCCTGTTTCTACGAGGCTAGGAACTTGCCACAACTCTCATTCCTGGGAAGTGCGCTCTTATCCAGCATGCTATGAAGACTACCCCCATTCTAACCAGCTGGCGGCTCCCTCTGTGCTCCCCGGGCTCTACCTGAGAGCTGTCACCCCTTGTTGAGACTCTAAGGCCCCCACCGACTTGTCCCCGAGTCCTACCTGGCTTTTCAAGCTCTGGATCTCTCTCTGCTGGGAGTCGATGTCTTCATCCAGAACCTGGAACTTCTGCGACATCATCCTCTCGCTCTGCCTGGACGTGCTCGTCTCCGACAGCTTCTGACTCAGGTTGGCCACTTCGTGCTGCAGGCTTGCAATCACAGAGTCTTTGTACTTGGATTGAAGCTCGCAATCCGAGAGACGGCTGACCTCTTTTCCCAGCAGCAGAATGATTTCGTCCTGGGTGGAGGCCAGACGGGAAGTTTACTCGGTGTGGGTCTGGGTACAAGGCTGAGCCCATCACAAAAAAAGGAGGAAAATGCGGTGTAATTCTTTTGGGAAGGTGATGGTGGGCAGGGAGAGATGGGCAGACTTTCAAGGCTGTCTTCCTCACTTGGAAAACCTCTCGGAGATAGGAGTTTGGTTAAAATGATATGCTTGTGCATAGACTCCTATAACAGTACCAAAACTCTCCTTTCCCCGAAAATTACACTTCCATATTGAGAACAACCATCCCCCTTGGGAAATTCTGTTGCTGGAGAGTTTATGTATACTATTTTAATTTATAACATTCAGCTTAGCACACAGGGGCCCAGGAAAGGAATGAGGAAACGACATTCTATGCGACCACATTCTGCCTATAAGGAGGGCTATTATTTAACTGAAAAAATTTAGCACATTCTGAAATGTTTCTTTCCCCTTTCCACTCTTCTGGTACTTCCTGCCTTTTTTGGTTATTCACATAAAAATTTGTTCCAGGTAACTGGATGTGGAAAGCACTCGAGACAGGAGGGTGACGTATGGTGTGGGCTCCTGTGAACTCTGGGCCGGAGAAAAGGCTGCTGGCAGATTTTACCCACAGGTGCAATTAGCCCAGTCCTCTATCCCTCCAAAAGAAAACGCTCTGCAGCTGAGGAATTTGTTAGGTTTCCCCAAAAAGGGAAAAAAATCCCCCAAACTTCTCACCAGAAGTCATCAATAAAATGTCAGAAAGACCGAAAAACAATTCTCCAGATGCAGCTCCAGAATTTCCACTTTTCAGGGAATCCTGCTCTTCCCACAGTTTCCACTGGCTGGAAGGAGGTCAAGGGAAATTTCTAGGCAAGCTCACTGCCTGGGAGCCGGCCAGTTGGCCTCCTGACCTTCCAGCTCCCTGACCGGGGGAAGGACAGCGTTTGAGTCCTGAAGAAGCCCGTCTGGCAGTGCCAACTGCTGCCAGGGTCTTTCTGTGGGTCCTTCGAATGCTTGTGGGAAGATTTCAAGGGACAGCATCCAACAGATTCCGTACTCCTGGGCAGCTTGCCAGTGGCACCCAATTCTAAATGGCCCAAAGCCACCATGCTCAGCCTGGTGCTTATTAATTATTCAGTCAATAAACATTTATTGAGCAGCTACTCTGTGCCAGGCCCTGTGCTGGGTGCTGGAGTAGAAAGAAGTGTGTGGAGTGAGGTGTGCAGCTGTGGTTTCTGACTTTCTGGTGAGGACCCCCTGCCCTTCCTTGAAGGAGGGCTCCCCCTTCCATGTGGTCTTGGTAGGACCGAAAACCATGTACCCTGCTCCTTCCTGTCCCACCTCCCCATGTGGATGTGACCAGCATGTGCAGGTTGGTCAATCAGAGTTTTCTCAGAGATTTCATGGGTGCATTACAGAGGAAGATGGTCTTGCTTCCTTTTGATCATGAATTTTAAATGCATAGGCTCGTATGCTTGAGTTTGTCTTTTCCAAAACATGAAGCCAGCCTGCTGTAGAAAGCCAAGCTCCAAGGGAAACAGAGGAGAGAGATCGGCAGTGTTCTGATGACATCTTTTCAGTTCCTGGATCGAGCCATGCCTGAAACTAGCAGGTCTTTAAATCTTCCAATAAGTTGAGCCAATAAATGCTTTTTTTTTGGCTTAAGCTAATTTGTTTATTGTCACTTGCACTTGAAGGAGTCCTGGCAAGTCAGGACATAAATGGCTCATAAATAGAAAGAACTATAAATGTGGTTACCTTATATCTCCAGTTTAACAACTGAGGTGGATTGAAAAATGGCTACAAATACTTTGCAGCTTCTGCCACCAAGTGGTGAAGACTATTTTCCCCACCTCCTGACTGGGGGCTGGACCCGTGACTTGCTTTGACCAAGAGAATGTGGCAGAAGTGATGCTGGGCAAGTCGCAACCTCCAGGCGAGTTCTTAAGAGGCTGTACAGCTTCTGTCCCGCCCCCCTGGGAACCCTGAGACCACCGTGCCGTGAGGAGGCCCAGCACGAAAATCCACATGCTGAGGCCCAGCATTCCAGGCTTCCTGCCTGAGGTCCCAGACATAGGAATGAGGTCACATGAGACCATCGCCCCTCCCAGTCACCAGCTGGCTGCAGTAGCATGAGTGAGTCTGGGGGACACCAACATCTAGGTCAACCCGTAGATCCTGGGAAATAAGAAGCTGCTGCTTTAAGCCACTAAGTCTTGGGGTGGCTCGTTACACAGCAGCAGATGGCTGACACAGCATCCCCGCCTGGCGCCTCACCTTACTGCCACGCTTCTCAGATCTGGCCCCGGGACACCTGTGTCGGAACCACCTGCACCCTGAAGTTGCAGATTCCTGGGTCTGCCAAGAACCCCAGGGGGGTCCAATGCTCACCGACCCTAAGAAGTGCTGCCGACTCGGGCCCTGGTCCTCAAGGACAGCAAGATACGTTGGATGCTTCTTTTAGGCTAATTTTTAGGTTGTGTCTAAGTGGGGAGGAATCCAACCTGGTCCCTGCCCAGATCGCCTGAATTCACCTGTTCTGGCTCCTGTTCCTGTTTCACTCCCTAAACCTCTCTGGTTCTTAAACAAGTCTCTCTCTTTCTTCACTCAATTTTGTCTAACTTCAGTGCTCACTTCTTTCTGCTAGGAAATGTTTTCCCCACCACTGTGCCGTCACTCGTGGTTGATCAAGTGGTTACTGTGTGGGAATTAGAGGTACCAGCTTCGAATTAGAGGTACCAGCTTCGAAGTTAACCAGATCTAGGTTTGAATCCCAACTCTGCCCCTCACGCTGTGCAACCTTGGGCAAGTTACTTACTCTCTCTGAGCTCCAGTTGCCCCATCTGTAAAGTGAGAGTGATAAAATCTATTTTGAATACAGTGAGGATTAACAAGACAATGGAATGCCAAGTGTACAGGACATGATCCAGCACATAGTGGGTGCTCAATACTTTGTGTGGTTGTAGATGTTGTTCTTCGGGATAAAATGAGCAGTTACCAAACTTTTGGTTGAATGTCCTGGGAGTAAGAGGTGGTTTCCCGGAAGTAGTGAAAAGGCACTTCCAGCCACAGAGAACATGCAGCAGGGGCGGCAATGCCTCGATGGTCCTGCTAGCTGCTGTACCTCTCTCCTCCCCCCGACACCCCGCACCTTATCCTCCTGGGCCAGGTCCTGGTCCATGTAAATCTCCCGGGAGGGTCCTGCCCCGGAAATTCCCTCAGCCACGGATGGTTCTGACAGTTCCACGGCGTTGGTCCACACTAACGCACAAGATAAGAGAGCACAGAGAGAGCGTGAGTTTCCCTAAGGTCCTCAATATTTTCAGATTAACCTTCACATTCATTTCCCCCTGAGATTTACATCTTATGCAATGAAAACATCACAAAGGGGTGTATATGTTCACTGAACAGCAATGAAGGCATTACAGAAGTATTAGAAAGAGCTGCCTCACTCCTTTCCCCAGTGCTAACCGAGCTGATTCACTTTGATGTGTCTCTTTCTAGACTTTTTCCTATGCCACGTGAGAGCCAATGACCCTGGGCAGGTCATTTCCTCTCTCTAAGGCTTAGTTTCCACATATATAACTTAGCGACACTAACAGTCTCTGCTATAAAGGGCTATTTGAGGAAGTGATGAAATAATGATGGAGAGCAGCAGTTGGCAAACTACGACCCTAGGGATGAATAAGGCCCTCTGCCTGTTTTTGTAAATAAAGTTTTATTGGAACACAGACACAGTCATTCATTTACATATTGTCTATGGCAGCTTCCAGCCATAAAAGCAGACTCGAGACATAGTTGCAACAGAGACCATATGGCCCACAGAGCCTATAATATTTACCATCTGGCTCTTTACAGAAGAAGTCTGCTGACCCCTGATATAGAGCATCTAGCACTAAATGCTAGCTATTTTTATTGCAATTACACCTTTAAAACACAAAGTGGATTTCTATTAAAGAGATCTTTCTCCAGTTTGCTTTTGCACCTCACAAGATATTAAAAACATCTTCCCATGTCAGCATTTGTAGCTACACTGTGTTCTTTTTACTGGTAGCACCAGAGTCCACTGCACAAGTTTGCCCAAACATATGTAACTAGGACCCAGTTGGGGGTAACTAGTAACTAGTTACTAGTAACTAGGCATTTAGGTTTTCCTGATTTTTTCCCTATTTACCCCCAATATTACAAGGGCTGTTTATGACTTTCAGGGGTGCTGGCATTGTTATGTTTGGGCGTCCCACTCAATATCATATCAAACATATCACAACTGACTCACATCAATGAATACATTTTTTTGTGGCATAGAAATTTTTGAAAGGATTTCTGTAACTCTGCTTTTGAGATCCCTTGGCTCTGAGAGGCATATTTAAATTTCCAACTGTCTATGATTTGCGGGCAATCATTGTGCATTCTTCTCTTCTTGTGCAGTGAGAAACTGAACCAATTGTCTTCCGAGGTAATGAAACAGTAATGAGTGTCAACATTAACAATGAATTAAGTACACACTGTCACATCCGTGAGCATTTATTCAATCATTTATTCATTTCGATTCTGCATTTTCCATTTATGCATTTCAGAGCCAATGATTTTTCTCCCAGGTCTCAAACGTGTTTGTGGGCCCCAGCGTCACCTGTGGACACTGCCGATGGCCCACGGTGGCTGGGGAAAGCATGGCCTGCACGCTGGACGATGGGACATGGCCTGAAGGGCCAAGCGCACCTGCTGTCTACACTCCAGAATGGGCTGCGATCACAGGAAGGCCCTGATCCCGCTTTTTGATCTTGGGCTTTTTATCATTTTATCTTTTTAAGATTGGCTTCTTATCCATTCCTCATAGGGAATAAAACAAACCGATCGAATGAAACTCTTCCCAAGATGAAATGAACAAAATCCTCTGAGTTCTGCCCGAGTGGCTTTGCCTGTGTTGGCAAACGCACCCAGTCAAACACCGCCTGGTGTGGCCAGACCTCAGGTCATGCACCCTCCCTGCTGACACTGGCTGTCACTTCTCATTGCTCTTTTCACACGGTCTCGAGCCACCTTCCCCCAGGAGCACACCCTTCAGCCACAGTGACCGTCCCCTCGTGCTCAAAATCTTCCAGTTACTGAAACAAGCGTCAAATTGAAGTTTCAATTTGATATCAATTTCAAAATCGAGTTTAAAAATGTAAATTAATTAACACTGAGCATGTACTTCCTCATTTCAGGTGCCCAGCAGGCATCTGTGGCTGGCAGCCACTGAATCAGCGAGCACAGATCTAGAAGATTCTCCCTTTTGTTTCCCCTCTTCTTAACCTAATACCTCCTGCCTGTCAACATCTATAACTGTTTTCTTCTTTTCATAAAAGGAAAAGAGGAGAAGTGAGATTTTTTTCTAAAAAACCTTTTGTGGGGCAGGATTTGACTTGAACGTCCAGTCGAATTCTGGAGGCCCCTGGGGTGCATTAAGGGTTGTCACACAGCCCGGGGCTCATTTTTAAGTATTCAGTCTACTCTGGTGCTGTTTGATGCTCTGTGTGTGCAGGTCATTTAACTGCCAACCTAGGGGCAGTCAGTTGCCCTAATCCGGGGTCCCCACGCCTGGTGTGGCCGGGCTGCATCACCTCAGACAGGCCACAGTCCAGAGGAGCTGCGACACCTGAGGTTTTCCTAATCGGCAAACTGAAGGCCAAGAATGGGTTTTTATTGGGAGAAAAGGTGGCCTGTTACCTGGTATGCTGAACCTTAGAAAGGGGCTCCCGATCGTCAAATGGAGGGAGGTGTGGCCCGGGGGCGGCTGACGTGCTGGAGGCCCCACCCTGGCCTGCGTGCCCAGGGAGGGCCCCAAGTCTGACCCTAACTAGGCCGGTGTCCAGTCTCGGGTTAGCTCTCTGCCATCGGATGCCATCTCTAGGGATAACTCCAGATGCCCCTGTGACCCTGTCATGGCTCCTTGAGTGGCCCTTCTCGGCCAGGCGATGGCAGAGCCCTCTGAGCACAGAGAGAGCCTGGACTTCATCAAACCTGCAGCACAGGCTGAAGGACAGTTTGGGGTCCCTTTGCTGCTGAAGGTGTGTTTACTACAGTCTGTGTGGGGGCAGAATTGGATCTGAGACCCGCTTTCCTTCTCCCCAGGCAGGAGGGGCAGCTGGTACCCTCATCCGCCCCAAACGCGTGTACTGGCTACAGCCAGGATGACCAAAGTGGCTTAACTCAGTTCAAAGCCTCCAGCTGCTGGATCATTTGGAGGTCCCGGCGGGGGACCCCCAGGGAGGGCCAGGAAGGCGGGGGCAGCAGACAGCAGCAGTGGGGACAGAGGCACGTGAAGACGTTCCGAGCAGCAGCTGTTTGTCAAATGGCAGGGAAGTGACGTCAGTGTTTTAACAACCGTCTGGCTGTCCTGTTACTTATCAGCTAGTGACCAGGCCTCACTAGGGAGAGCGTGTGGGTACCTGAACTGTGTCTTTAGGATGTGGACTGGATTTCTACATGTCGTAAGTTGTAAATACAGCTTAAATAACAATCGTGGGTGGATAGCAATTTAATTTTTAAAATTCAATATTTATTGCGTGTTCAGTATCCATCAGGTGCTGTGCTCAGTACCTACATGCAGGATCCTATTTCATCTTCATAACAACCCATGAGACAGATCTTATTATCACTATTTCCATTTTATAAATGAGGGATCTGAGGCACAGAGATGTCAAGCCACTTGCTGAAGGTCACACAGCTGGTAAGCGGTAGAGTCAAGGTTTGAACCCAGGGTTGTCTGATTCGGAGCCTGTGCTCTTAACCGTTATGCAGTAAATTTATTGAAGCAGGAAGACGTTCATGATAGATTATTGAATTTTAAAAAGCAGGTTACTGATGTTAGGTTCAATTTATCCCATTATTGTGAAGAAATATATATAAATCAGGATAATATTTTTAAAAATCGCCCCATATATTTTCTCTTCTCAGTAATTCGTCCTCTCCCACCTCCCAGGAGCTCATGCCATTAGGGTTCATCCTTGGAGCTGAGGTCTCATTGCCTGTGGAAGGAGAAGGGTGGACACTAACTCTAGCAGGGCGATGTTGCCCCCAGCGGACATTTAGCGATGTCTGGACACATTTTTGTGTATCACAATTGAGGGGGCATTAAGTACCGGCATCTAGTGGGCAGAGGCCGGGGATGCTGCCAAGCACCCTCAACGTACAGGACGGATCCCACAACAAAAAATGACCCGGGCCTGTAATGTAGTGCCGAGATGGAGAAACTCTGACCTCAGCAAATAAGTCCTTAGCGTTGGGTTTTCAAACAGATTTTTTCAAATCTAAAGCAAGGCAGGGGTCTAAGAGCAAAACAAGGTTATTTGAAGAGCCCAGCTGTGTTGAGAGAGGAACGGATTTTCTCAGAACCCTCAAAAATAGGCGTTTTCTATCAAGAGCCAGCCTGGAGGGCTGGAGCATAGAGCTTACTCCAAAGCATGGAGCAGAGAGGCCCAGAGCCTGACATCAGGGGACTGCCCGCCCCCGACCCCACCCCAGAAGAGGAGAGCCCTTCTCTGACATCAGGGGACTCCCCAACAGGAAGATGAGCACACTTCTGAGGACAGGTGAGCACCAGGGAGTGAGGGAGAAACTGTGGAGACAGATGAGACCCAGGTGGGAGGCCGTGGTGATGAGGCCCAGGGAGACCCGAGGACCTCCGGGCCGGACGACTCCTCTTGCAACTCCCAGGGAGAATGTACAGCCCTCAGAGGGTCCCAAGTTCCACCTGGCCCTGAGAAATAGGTGGCAAGATCCACTGGGTACAGTGGAAAAATTAAAATGGCTGCGTAAAAAAGAGAAAAGAAAGGAAAAAAAGAAACAGCTCACGTGTCCAACAAGAAAAGAATGGATAAAAAACCTGTATATGTGTTCATACAACAGAATTTCTCAACAATAAAAAGGAACAAACTCGTGATACACATAACGAAATGGATGAATCTCAGAAATATCATGCTGAGTGAGAACAGCCTTTCAGGAAAGAACACAGACCACATGATTCTGTTTATTTGAGATTCCAGAACAGGGATATCTCAGCCGTGGCAGAAAAAGAACTCGGCAGAGTGACTGCCCCTGGGGGCTGGGAATTGACCAGGAAGGGACATGAGGGACCTCTCTGGGGTGATGGCAATGTTCCATATCTTGATAGGAATTTGGGTCTCACAGGTGTACACAACTGTCGGGACTCAGGAGCACGCACTCAGGACGGGTGCCTTCCACTGAGTGGTAACCAGTCTCCAAGATGGCCCAGGGCTTCCTGTTTCCCGGTATTCACACCCTTGTATTGTCTTCTCCAATCCTGGATGGACTTTGTATCAGTTGGCTTGGCGGCCATCACAAAACACCATAGACCGAGCAGCTTAAACATAAAAAATTTCTTTTCTCACAGTTCTGGAGGCTGGAAGTCTAAGATGGAGGTGTCGGCAGGGTTGGCTCCTGAGGTCTCTCTCCTTGGCTTGCAGATGGCCGCCTTCTTGCTGTGTCTTCACATGGCCTCTTCGCTGTGTGTGGGCATCCCTGGTGTTTCTCTTCTTATAAGGACACCAGCCATATCAGACTAGGGCCCACCCTAATGCTCTAATCTTAATTTATTTACCTCTTACAGGCACATTCTGTGGTACCGTGCTTAGGGCTTTAACATAGGAATTTTGAGGGGACACAATTCAGTCCATATTAGAGCTTATCTATGTCACCAAGGATACTGCAGAAACGGCAGAGTGTGACTCCTGAGGTTAGACCATGAAAGACACTGCCGCTTCTGCTTTGCGTCCAGGACACTTGTCTGGAGGAGCCAGTGGCCATGGCATGAGGATACTCAAGCAGCCTGTGTGGAGGTCCCCATGATGAAGAATGAGGCCTCCTGCCCACAGCTAATGAGGAACTGAGGCCTCCTACCAAAAGCCAGGTGGAAGAACCATCCCGGAGATGGGTCCTCTGGCTTCAGGTTAGCCTTCAGGTGACCACGGCCACAGCCAGCATCAGGACCAAAACCTCAAGAGAAAGTCTGAGCCAGAACCACCCAGCTACGCCATTCCCAAATTCTTGACCTGGAGAAACCATGAGATAGTAAATGTTTACTGTCATTTTAGATCCTTAAGTCCTGGGGTAATTTGTTAGGCAGCAAAAATAGCTAATACAGATTTTGGCACCAGGAGTGGGGTGATACCTTAACATAATCCTAAAATGTGGAGTGGTTTGGGTTGGGACAGTGGCCACAACCTGGAGGACGTCTGCCAAGAGTCTTAGTGAAAGCTTGAAGAGTCTGTCAGCAGGAGCCCACTGGCATTCGAGGAGGCAGTGAGGGAAGTCTCACAGGAAAGTGAGGAAAATGTTCCTGGGGTTATGGGATCCTTGTTATGTGGTGGCAGCAAGTTCCATGACACACTGCCTGTGGTGACGAGGAAAGGAGATGACGTTCCTAAGGAGCTGGGTGATCAAGCTCAAGAGACTCCTGGGCGGAGCGTTGGAAGCTGCCACCTGCTTCCTTCTTGCTACTTACACTGAAACGTGAGGGGGGGAAAGGGGCTGAAGGAAGCACTGGTAAACCAAAACGAGCCCGGACTTGAGTGGGCTCGGGAGTTCCCCGCCTCTCCAGATGGCCAATGAAACGGAAGAAACAGGTTCTGGGCAGAGAACAAATCCAGGGCGCTCTCGGGAAAACGTGGTCTAAAGATGAAGCTGAGCATGTGACTGTAAAACCCTTTGTTAAGATCACAGAAGGATCCAGAATGGTGTCTCAGAGGACCATTGGGTCAAAGCTCAGGCTTCTCAGGAACTTGTGAGCGCTGTCCCACGGTGGTCTCGGCAGAAGCCCAAGGCAGAGACAGGCTGGTGTCAAAGAAACCTGTGGGTACAGCTTTGGCCTAACAGGGTCAACCCAGTGAGAAACGCTGCCAACCTGGACTGACAGAGACAGAGGCCCAGAGAAGTAAAAGCAGCCTTTGGATCCCCAAGCTTCTACAGGCAGGAAGCAGACTATAAAACCAAGCTGTGATACCTTTCACGCAAGAGGCAGGATGACTCTGGGGGCAGAACTAAGGGGCCAGAGGGCAGAGCCAAGAGCCCTGGAAAAGTCATCTCTGGCAAGAGTAGGACTGAAGCCTAAGGAAGGAACATCCCACATTTTCCCGGAAGGATTTCAGAACTGCTTTGGGCCAGTGACTCCCATGTGTCTCCTGTTTTACTCCGTTTTGAACAAGAGTGGTATCCCCAGCAGTTATGCTATGTCTGTCCCACCAATGGACGTTGTGAGGGACAGACAACTTGTCTCTCTAGTTCACAGGTCTTCAGATTGCTAGAAAGGGTACTGGAGGAGCTGAACTTAAGGCACCAGGCCCATGAGCCCCATCTGCCCCTGACTTGATTAGATGACGAGATTCTGAAATGTGGGCTGACGCTGTAGTGGGGTGAGACTTCTGGGGACCCTGGGAGAGGGTGAGGGCATCTTACATGTGAGAGGGGGGTGAGTCATTGAGGACCAGAGGGCAGACTGTGGTAGGCAGCCTTCAAGATGACTGCCAATACTTCTTGCCTCCTGTATTCAGGCCATGTGTAGTCTTCTCCCATATTGGATACAGCCGGCCTGTGTAACCAATAGGATATCGTGGAAATGACAGAGTGACTTCTGAGGCTTGGTCATAAGGGACATTGCAGTTTCCATCTTGCTCTCTTGGATCACTTGCCCAGGGAGAGCCACTGCCATTCCATGAAGACACCCCAGCAGCTCTCTGGAGAGGTCTGCATGGCGAGGGCCTGAGGCCTCCTGCCCAGAGCCATGCGAGTGCACCATCTTGGAAGCAGATTTTCTATTCCCAGTCAAGCCTTCAGAGGACTGCAGCCCTGGCCAACAGCTTGACTGCAGCCTTAATGAGAGACCCTGAGCCACAGCCGTCCTGCTAAGTTGCTCCCTCATTCCTGACCCACGGAATCCGTGTAACATAATATGTGTATGGGCTTTGTTTTTTGCTTTAGGCCACCAAGTTTTAGGAGAATTTGTTATTGAACAATTAACAACTAATACACATTGCGTGTTAATTTTACATCAAAAGACAAAAACTATTGAACTCTAGTTAATGGGATATATGCTACGATATTTAGGGGGAAGACTACAGATGTGTGCTGTTTATTTTGAAATGCACCAAAAAAATGGACTAATGAATGGGCAGATGGATACACAGATATGTCATAAAGATCACAGCAAAATGTTAATGGTAGAATTAGGTTGGGTTTCTCTGTAAAATTCTTTTTACTTTGCTGCATGTTTGAAATTTTTCATGTTAAAATGTTGGGGGGAAACGGCTGAGTAATTTCTTAACTTGGGTGATAGGACCATGAGGGTTCATTTCACAGCAATGATGATGGTGACGAGATGATGTAAACTGTAGACATACATTTAATTCTCTCCTCACTTTGTCTATTTCACAATAATAACTATTGCTTGGGTGGCTGAGGGAGGTGGCCAGGTGAATGGTCCTGAGCAAGACCAGCAGAGGCTGTGAAGCCACCAAGAGCTCTGGGGGCCTCAGAGGCAGCTGGAGCCAGGACACAGAGGTCAGAGAACAGGACCTTCACACCCGAGGTCATGGGGGAAACCCGGGAATCCTGACAGGGATTAAGTCGACCTGGCTGCTCTGCCCATGAGGCTGGCCGGGAGGATGGTGACAGACAGGAAGGCTCCTCCCCAAATACCATGAGGCCTGCGGGAGCAGAGGGTAATGCAAGGAAAGCCTAAAGGCTGTGTGTCCCCAAAGTGACCAGGCTGTGAGTGACGGCCACTGAGATAACTAGCCTTAAATTCGACTGGAAAACAGTTGATTCAATTAGATTGCACGTAGCACGTCTGGGAAGCAGTTTTCCTCACTAAGCCCCAGTCTGCTCCCGCCTGTAAAACGGGAATAAAATATTTAAAAACCTCCCAAGGCAATGGGATTTCGGTTGCCAATATTTATGCACATCTGAGTCAAAGTGTGTAAATTCAGATCCTGCTACACAGTCATATATTCGGACACACACACACAAACACACACACACACACAGACACTCACCATGGACACGCACCAGAAAGTCAACAGAGGTCATCACCAGGTGATATGGGTGATCGCTGATCTGTAACTGTTTTCCTACTTTCCGTTTATCCTCAATTTTTTCACAATTGATTGTGTTCTACTTTTAGAATCAGGGAAAATAAGCAAAACCCGAGACCCATCCTCACGGCCATAAGCCGGCCCCCCAGCCCCCAGCGGCAGCCCCGTGCATACCTTGCTTGAGGATGGGGGACCTGTGGGCGCCATCCACCCTGAAGGAGAACATCTTCCCGCCAGCACTCACGGGCCGCTTGTGGGAGGCAGGTGGGACCACGGTGGGCCTGGGGAAGCCCTGGGACCAGCTCCTCTGCACTGGTGCCAGCCGGATGCCCGGGTAGAAAGGCATCTGTGGTGGCGAGGGTGACTGGTTCGGCTGCTGTGTGGCCCGAGGTGGCTGGGGCCTTGGCCAAGGCGCTGGGCCCCTCATCCAAGGGAAGGAAACCTGCAGGGGCAGACAAGAGGGTCAGAGGAGGTTACAATCAGCTCAGTGGTCTCCACCCCTTTGTCCCAGCCACATAATTGCTGCCCTAGGTCTTGGCATATAAGTCACTTCCTCCAGGAAGCCCTCCCAGATTCCCCCCAAGTTTCAGATGGTGGTCCCCACCATGGGTCACGTTGCACACTATCACACCAACATTTATTGTGCAGCCTTCATGCCAGGCACCCTGCCAAGAGGTTTACAGCATGACCTCATTTGACACACCTGATGCTCTGAGAGGCTGAGCAAGACCAAGCGACTTTCCCGCATCACAGATGTGGTAGTGAGCTGCTGAGCTGCTAGAATGCCACCTCTAAGGGGAGAAGGGCTTTTTGTCTATCTTGCTCACCACCGTATCCTCAGCATCTAGAATCAATGCCTGGCACATACAGAGTAGGCCCTCAGATACTGGTTGAAAGAACGAATGAGCAAATCACTGAGATTCAAGCCGAGCTCTCTGGGGGCCACATGCTCTCTTTCCATCCACGCTGCATCTCTCCATCTGTCCCCCGAGAGCCAAGAGCTCTGGGGTAGCAGGGACCCCGACCGTCTCATGAACTTTTGATCCTCGACATCCACCATGATTCCAGCAGAGGCTCCCTAAACATCTGTCGTCGAGGGAAGATTTCATCGCTGACCCTGCGGAAGACGTCTGTAGCTACTGTCACTGGAGAACACATCAAATTCCACCTGACGCCAGGACGGAGGAGAAACGCCGAGAGGCGCTGACACCTGGCTTTTGTCTTGGTTTACAACTTGAGTAGTGGCTCCCCCCTGTGCCCAGTGATTAAACAAGGACCTCAGTGGGTGCTGAGACTTCCTGCACTTTCCTTCTCTCTTTCTCACAATCACCCTTCACGGGAGGAGGTCTCCTTGCTCCTATTTTACAAGTAGTACTTGGAGAGGTCAAGGAATTTACCCAACTCAGGGAGTGGCAGAGAGGGAGCTGGGGTCAGGGTCGGATGACCGCTCTCACTCTCCTCTCTCTCTGTCTCTGCCTCCCCTCCCCTCCCCTCCCAATTCTCTTGGCAGAAAAACCAGCACTTTTCCAGGAAGAAGGTAGTTTACAGACTTGCCGCCTGTGTGGGGTCACCCATCTGTTCTTCCCGGGGTCGTTTCTCTTTCTGTAGACTGGGGGAGAATACAAGCCCAGAGACACATCATGAGAAACAGGACAGGACGCTTCCAAGACCGGAGCACTGGCATCCAGAACGCCCTCTAACGGCAGCTGGACTTCATTCAGGAGGAAGGCTCTGGCTCGCTCAGGCTCCCGAACCAGTCAATCACTTAGCTACAGCCTTTCCCCAGCGAGTCAGAAGCCTGTGCATGCCCCCTAAGACTCTCTTGGAGTCAGTGAGAATGTGTTCAGGGAAATCAAGCCCCATTTGCCTGGGGTTGTCTGGCCCAGCATCCATAATGATGCTGGTCCACTTGAAATGTTCCAGGAACAAACGCACTTGGCAGTGTTCTGGAGCTCTGCTACCTTCCGTGTAGTTTCGAATTTCTCTCCACCGCTAACATCTGTCTGTCTCTCCACCTGTGCTTTCTTCCTTTCTTTACTTTCCTGCCCTGCGCTAACTTCTCCATCCGTCCGGTCCCGACCCTTCCCCTCCTCTGGGCTGTCTTGCCTCAATCATTTCTATAACCTTTTCCCATTGGTTTAATAAATATTTATTGAATGAATGGGCTGCAGGCGAGAAGAGGGAAATTCTAATGCGTTTTCCCCAAGACTGCCAGAAAACAAACCTAGAGATTACTGGTAGTGGTGGAGGAATTCTCTCTCGTGTTGGGATGCTCAGGTAAATGGGCCTCACCGCCAGCTAACTGCAAGGGCGCCAAAGAGAGCAGTCACGTCTCGTGCCTCAAGGGCTCCGCTTCTGTGGTGGGCAGGCCAGACCCCCTCCGCTCCTGTAAAGATTTGGGGAATGCTCCCTTCCAATCTCCCAGCCCCCTGTTGTGGGTGGGGCTAAGCAACCAGCCAATCACATTCCCCAGCCATAGTGATTGGTTCAGCAGTGGGGCATGTGATCCAATCAGAGCCAAGGAGATCCAGGGAAACTGGCTGGACACCAGGATCTTGAGCAACCAGATGGGACTTGGGGGTGTGGCCAGGCCGAGGGAGGTGAGCCAAGACATGGAGACAAGGAAGGTGTTTTTATTTCCCCCAAATTGTGGTATATAACACGTAACACAAAATTTACCTCTTAACCATTGTTAAGTGTACAGAGCAGTAGTGTTACATACATTCCCATAGCTGGAGACGGCACCTCAGTATTTCCTCAGCTTGCAAAACTGAGACTCTATCCCCTTAAACTCCCCATTTCTCTCTCCCCTATCCCCTAGTGATCACAATTCCCTTTCTATGTCTATGAATCTGACCATTCTTGGTACCTCACCTTAGTGGGATCAAACAGTACTTGTCTTTTTTGTGACTGGCTTGTTTCACTGAGCATAATCTCCTCAAAGTTCACCCAAGTTGTAGCACGTGTCAGAATTCCCTTCCTTTTTAAGGCTGAATAATATTCCATTATACAGATGCCCCACATTTTGCTTATCCATCAGCCGTGATGGATGCTTAGGTTGTTTCCACCTCTTGGCTGCTGTGACCACGCAGCTGTGAACATGGAGATGCCAATAGGGAAACTGGCTTTTCGCCCCGGCCTGGGCGGCATCCTGAGCTGCTCAACCTCAGGAGGCCGGCTAGAGCTGGTTTCTGTTGCTGGCAGCACAGGGAGCCCTGACGACAGGGGCCCCAAGGGGAAGATGCCAAAGATGTGTGAATGCAGCCCAGACTCCAAATCAGCCTTGGGTTCAAAAGTAAAAAGTAAAGTTTTGTGTTTTCTTCTGAAGCTTGTTGATTTGAGGGTGGTTAAAGCTGGTTTTCTCTAGTTAGCAGGGCTGCTCTCTCCTACACAAGGTCAGGGTTTTCTCAGAAATTGCTGCTGTTAACTAGACAGAAGCAGGCAGGGGGGTGGCAAACACAAGGAAAGACTCCCATTGGCGCCAGCTCTGGGCTGGGCTTACGTTAGAAGGCACACGGCGCTCGGGGTCAAGGTCAGCCACACACAGGTCTGTTCTCAGAAACTCGAGTTTAAAAATACATGCAAATGCCTTTTCTCTTTCTTCCTTTCTTTCTTTCTTTCTTCTGTTCGCTGACCATATGGTGTGTTGTGTGGTTGGTTCCTTCGTTTTTGAGGGAGCATATGTCATATTGCTGATTTCTTCCGCACTGTCTTTAAAATAGCAAGTTGTCAACAGCTGGGTTAACTGTGACCACAGCCCGTGGCTGAGTTAAATCAGCTTGAACAAACACCGGTCAATGATTTACTCAGGAAATCACCGTCCGTGTTTTTCAGATTATCTCCTTGTTCTTTGTGTTCTCTCTCGCTATCTGTTTCTAATCCTGTAAAGGGCGCAGGCTGAAGGGGCACCCTGAACAAACCAGGGTAGTTTGCACACGGGGTGCCTAGGGGACACACGCACTCCGCCAGAAGCCCCGAGGCTGGTAGAGGCGGGGGAAGTAGCCCTTGCTCTGGGAGAGCTGTCCTGGGCTCTGCCGTTTGCAAGTGATTACTGATCCTACTACGGCTACGCACTACCATGTAGACACGGAGTCTGTGCTGTGTGCTTAACATATTTGGTCTCATCTAATCGCCAGAATCATCTCGGAGTGGGGGAGGCACCCCTCCTGTCCCATTTGTGGATTAAGAAACTGAAGCTCAGAGAGGTTAAGTGACTTGCCCAAGGTCCCACAGCCAGGAAGTGGTGATGCTGTTTGAGTCTCAAACTTGTACTCTTAGAACTTCTAGCTTATCTGAAGTCATGACGTCTACTTTCTTTCCTTACTTGCAAAAGGATCTTAGGTGACTGGTTAGTGAAGGACAGGAGATTTCCTGGGTTAAAAATGAAAATGAGAAATAGATGGTGTGAAAAACCACAGGATGTTGCATGGGCTGCGCAGACACAGGATTTTCTAGGAACACCGAGAACTCTCTGATGCAAGTGTTATGCGTATGGCCCATGCCACGCCCTGGAAGCAGTTCAGAGGACCGAGGCCCATCCGGGCAGGTCCCGTGGCACGGTCGCTGCTCTCCCAAATGACTGCGGGGGCCAGCTGGTACCTGCTCACAAGAGCCAGTGATTAAACGTCCAGGAATTTTGTGAGCTTGGTTGATAAACACAGCCATTAATAAAAATTACATTACATAAACTTACAAGTAAATTATGTCAGAAACAGAGGTAATAAATACTTAAAACTCACCCCTTCCTAATTAGTTCACTATATTTTATTTTTATCCACGCGCTTGAGGTTATTGTGTGTTGGAAAGGCTGTGTAATTATGTGCCACCACATGCCTGTTTCCAACCCTGTGCTCAGCGAGGTTTCATTGGGAACTTGAAATCGGCCGTGAGGGGAGTATCTGCACCATACAAATCAGGAAACGCTATAAATCAGAGCTTGAGTTTTTGTTTTGCTGACTGTCCACACCTAAGAAGGCGATGGAGAAAATGTTAATAACGCAGATGGTATAAAAGCGGGTCGTTTCTGCAGCCCTTCCATGATGAATAGCACAAAAAACTGAGGAAATGTTCTTCCAGTATTTGAAAACTATTGTCCAGGGTGTTATGTCATTGATGAGCATGTGAATTTCCAACACATGTCTTTCTTATATCAGTTTTGTCTTACTCGGAAATGCAAACGAAAACGTCTACCAGTGTTCAGGTTGGGAACTCGCGTATGTCAATTCCAACGATGGGTTGGCCGAGGAAACGAGAGTTCAGCGAAAGTCAATGAAAGCATTTTGTGAGAATCACTTGGCTTTATGGAACTTACAATAAAGGGTATTGTATATTTTATTATTATTTGTAAAGAATGTGCTACACTGTAGTAGAAGGTATCAGTAAACTTTCTACTATACACGCATACTTTACTTTTTTCAGAGAGCCAGTCGGTAAACATTTACC